ATCCCCCACCCCCTCAGGCTTTGACCAATTCAGACTGCAGAGGTGCAGTTCACGATGTCGTGTTTTATTACCATAACATAAGGACTCGTCACTTTGAAGATTTTACTGACAGCATATTCGCCATTTGAGACAGTCTATGCCCCTTGCAATGTTAATGCCAACAGAAAATTTCAAATAAGTCATGCAGTACAACTTTGGGTCTACACATTGATTTATTTATTCACATGAACGACACTGCAAGAAGTGTCACGGTACAAAGATGAACTCTACGTATTGCAAATGTTCTGTCATAACAATATACTGCATTTAGCAAAATTAACGTATTAAGACAACGCACCTCTGGAACATTCGAAGATATTCTTACCTGATGCCGACGAAGGTGCGATCTAACGGCGTGCGTGTGCAGTAAAAAAACGTCGAGCCGAAATTGGAAAATCTCCAGCCCCTCTTTTGACGTTGTGTTAAAAAGGAAAAGGTACTAGGATGGATGTTGCAAGACGCAGTTTTAACGGGAAATGCCGCAGGGACCGATCCCACTCTCGCTCTTTGGGTTATGTGACGCTACAGCGAGGGCGTCATCCCGCTTGCAGCACGTCTTGATCTACAGTAGGAAGCGTGCTTGGCCGTCTTATGTAGAGGACAACTGACCGACACGCGTGTTCTTTGAGTCTGCGCATGATAAAGAAATACGCCTCCTTTTCTGCGCCTACTTTTAAAGCCCGAAAATAGCATTACATCAGCATTTACTTTAGGATTGCCATTTAACAGGAACCATGCAGTATTGCATTTCGATTCAATTATTAAATTCCTTTCTGGCATTTTTATTTGCAATGATCGTAAGAATCGTTATATATAATGGACTGTAAATATGGCATCCTCAGTGCATACAACATGCCAGTTAAATATACATGGGACGTAGGCAATTTATTTTTCTACAGGTAGCCTATGGCATGTTCTGAAAATGACGGAACTGAAACAAGATTGTGATATTCAATATAATGTAATAAAAACAACCGTGTCACATGTATTCCTCGAATAAATTAACTAGTCGAATGTAGTGGGCTACAAGCACAGGTGTCCGACGTACTTAATATTATGGGATGCTATTTATAAGCACGTAAAGAAAACGCGTTTTGCCGTTGAAATGTAATCTGACCGAGTTTGGGGAAATCCCTGTGTAAAAATAAAGTTTATATTTGTCATGACCTGATTTAAAAAATGTCGCATAGTTGACCCAGGGCTCCCGGTCCTTCCACGATTTGGCGTCTCCGGGGGGTGTTCAGTGTCACTCCAATGCTCGTTCAGTGGACTGTTTCCATTTGACACCCAATCATAACTGACATTTTGGAAACCGCACAAACCGTTTACAGCTACTTTTCTGACATCAACCGCGTTTATTAGTACTGTCGAAATTATGACAGCAATAAATCGTAATGTTCATAAGGGATTTTCCCCCCAATTAGCCTATATACAAAGGCTAGAATCAGCATTTGGCGCAGGACAACCATCACGGTAGCGAAGAGGTGCTTTTCATTTAGCTCAGTAAAACAACACAGCATTAATCCGCATTAATCGTTTAATTAGGTCTAATTGTGCTTCAGATTCAGTTTGAAAGTGCTGGGTAAGGTATTTCTTCGCAATCAACTATGAAAATGTGTTATAAAGAAAAAGGTAGATTATTAATTCGATTTTACCGGTCTCTTTGGAGTGCAGTTTAGCCTGCTATTACTAATGTCTGTTGTTCTGTATTTTTAACAAACAGGTGAAATCGCAGTGGCTCTGCAGACTTAATACCACACTATTACTATTACACGCAACAGAGAACTTAGCATACTAAAAAAACTCACATGTCTCTCTAGGGTTGGCCTCATTAGTTTAAAATACTGTAATTATATGTACATAGATTCTTGTTAATTCATAAGCAGTGACCCTGAACTTTTGAACGTTAAGCCGAATCCGTTGAGGGTATGCAAAATAAAGAGCTGAATGCAGTTAAATCAGCTAAAAATGAGCACACATATTTTATTCCCTAACATTTGTGAAGTTTACCACAATCAGGTGACTTATATTTCAAAGATAATTTTCAGCTTACTAAGAATAGAATACAGTACATTATATCACTATAAAAAAAAATCTGACACGTTCAATGTTTTTAAGCTATTTATAGGCAATTCAGTTTAAACAATGGTGAATTGTTTTTTATAAGCTGGTCAAGGTGTACATGTGTATACAGCATCTTGCACACATTTTAGCATTACCTTAAGTGGGAAAGAGATGAATTTTTATAAAGTTAAATGTATGTGTTTTGCCACAGTAATACATACCGTGCATGTAAAGTCTACCTGTGACCTGTTACTGAATTGGCATTTGAAAGAGGATTGTTGTGCATAGAGTTGATATGTGATTAGTTTTCTTCTAATCGCTTGAATCTAAATTTCATAATCATGCATATTTAGGCCTAGCAATACCAATGAATTTCTACAAAATGTATCTATTTATTGTTGCCAAAGCTGGATCCAGGCATAGGCATACTTATGGCCCAAAGGGTTGAAACAACATATTTAAAAAACATAGGCCTATTACACATGGCTGGCTTTCGCTACGGAATAAGCAGTTGTCTAGGAACTACCTGTGTTGCAGAGGAAGTGAAATAATGATCACTTTTCTTGGTAAGGGGGGCCCTGAAAAGGTAGTTCTCGTTCTGATTGTGGCACGTGAAGTTGTCAATGGCTGGTTTATGTTTATGTGACTTTACATCTGGGATGGATAAAACTAGAGGAGGTGGGACCAAGACATTTGATTGGTTGGCCCCACCAACTTTACAGTCTGATTGGTTATCTTTCAGAACCAACCATTTTTCATTCTGCCCTTAGATCATTTTTGTGTAACTAAAACTACCATGATCTCTTTTTCCTCTAAACAGCCATCTTTGAGTTGTTCTTTTTTTCATAGGTTTCTCCTCTTTTGAGGATTTTTACCCATTATTGTCCTCAACCTTCCAAAAATTCCGATGCATTCTCATGGTCAAAGAGGAGACCCAGATTCTCAGTGGCCAGGCCTAACTCTCTCGCTTTTGCCCATATTTTCAGCTTCTGGGTGAGCTCCAGTGTCCTGACAGTGACACGTTGGCAAGATGTTGCGCAGCAGCTCATTCTTATCTCGATTGTTCAAACAATAACAGAGGCGAAAAGTTTAAAAAAATGATAAAATAGTATTCCTATTTGCTTAGACTTTGTACGGCTGAGCCTGTGAGAGAGGCATCTGAGGGAGAGAGAGCATTCACATTTCATGTGCAGAAGATGAATACAAGCATGCAACTGCAGGTAGGGGTTAAAATAATGGCTTTGCTTGAATATTTGTATGTGTATGTGGAGAAATGGAGGCAACTTTTTTGATGTAGCAAAAAATAATTGTGTTTGTGTAGCTGTGGGTCTGTGCTTTCATGCGCAAGTATGCCTGAGTATGTGAAGAAGAGACAGAATTGAGAAAACGGTGAACAGAAGGTTTATTGGTTGCCAGAATTTAAAAAGGCCCATTTGTCAAAGCTGCTAAGCCGAAATGAGCCCGGTCAGCACCTTTGTACCTGAACTGTGTGCAGAAGTTTTCAGTCTCATCAGGATGTTTATATGTCATTTATGTTTTAAGACCCCTTATTGCTAAATGGTGAAATAATAATACGTGAAGTAGCATTCTGGCAGGGTGAAAATCTAAATTGGGCCAAATTTATTAGGAGCATAAAATGAAAATGAAGATTCTCCCTTAAGCTGCCAATAATATATAACATTTTTAAAACATCCATGTGAAAACATAATTACAGCAACTGCACACTTCTTAATAGAAAGATTAGAAAAATTTGTACTGTGCATTCTTCAGCGTTTTTCTGTGACCTGTATTTTGTGTGGGCCATGAGAAAATTAGGCCGAATGTCTGTACATATATATTGTCCAGTGATGCCACAGAGCAACGAATATTAACCTGGTTTATTAGCTATGCTAAAGAACTGGATTGATCTGTCTCTTGGAGATTGCTGTTGTCATTCTGCAGGTCCTGGGTTCAAGTTCTTTTGTCAGTTCTGTAGTTTTAGGTTCAGTGTGCGGTTCTGTGTCTGTGATCAGAAGGTCGCTGGGTTCAAATCCTATGACAGAGTAATTTCATCAATTAGTCCCTGAGCAAGGTCTTTAAATCGCACTGCTCCAGGGACGGCTGACTTTGCTTTCTCAATTATGTATGTTCATATGTATATATATATATAATATTATAGCATAAATGTTATAGCATTTTTAATCTAACTTTGTATGTTCTAGTATCTAATGTTATGCTGCTTCACTGATGAACATAGACAGATCCATTGCATTTTTAGCCGGGGTTTAAAATTAAAATCTTCCAACCCTTGAAAATTGGTGTTCCATTGTGAATAATCTCTGAGAAGAGTATTCTGAGAAGATCTGACCCCAAAATGTCCAGTTGGTGGTGAGTTATTCCCCTAAAATTGGATCTTGTTCTTGCATGAGTAATACCTATATCTGGATGGAAATTGAATCTATAATCTATGGATACATATTATTTGTGGGCAGTGTGTGGTTCAGGAGGTTGGGACTGCGTTCTCTTGATCAAAAGGTCACTGAAATCCTGTAGCTGGCAAGGCCATTAACCCCAATTACTCAAGGGATACTGTCTGACCCTCTTTCCTAATCCTCACATTGTTTTAGATAAAAAGCATTTGCTAAATAAATTAATGCACTATAATGATTTGAATAAAATACCCCATGCCTATCTGTTAACATGGTGTGGTGGTCTACCATACAGTTAACATGGACATTTAATTACTGTTTAATTATGTATGATACAAATTAACTAATACTGATTACATAAATGAAAAAAAAATAGTACAGGTACTACTGAAGAGTAACAAAACATATTGCAGAAAAGTCTCTAATAAGCCTCCCAGACAGTAGGTGGCAGCAACACGATTCAACTCCGTCAAGTATGCCATACAGCCGGAATCATTAGAACAAAATGGCTGCGCGCATGTCACCTTCGGCTTTAGCGGCAGTTAGATTTTTGTTTAAACAAAATGTGTTATCGCAGACTAAAGTGTGGTGTACGGTTCATGTTAACAACATCAGAAGAGGTGAGCTGTCTCCGAGTCATAAATGAACACATGTTTACATTATTTTATTTAAGACTATAAAATGATATCACTAATGCCTGGATAGGTAATTACCTTTTTCAAGCGTAAATGATGACAGCTTGTCATTATGGTCTGTCCGGCGGTATACGTATTATCACTTGTTTATGTTATGTTAGTAATTAAAATATGCTGTTTCCCTAGGCTACATAGTACAAGTGGCAAGTGTACCCTCGCACACAGATGACACCCTTAAATACAGGCAAATCAGTGATTTCAGCGGACCATTGCAACATTACATGAGTCTCGTTCGGGATGGGACTCTCCGGGAGGACCAGCAGCAAAAAGCAGTGCTTATGCGGCTTGATGAAATGCACGACGTGCTGAAAACGTACAGCAACAGCCCTACGTCATTTCTGTCAAAGGTGAGGACAGGTGCCGCACAAGGCTGGGCTGTCAAGAGCCCAACAGGTTTACAAATGATCTTCCCTGGATGTCCACGTGCCATGCATCTGCGCTTAAGCGCTGCAAAACTCAGTACATTACCCAATATTTTTATGCTGGTCAAAACTAATTCTCATGATACTCGTTTTTAAGTCATTAGTTTCACAATTTAGAAATTATGCCTCTCAAAATTTCCAAACTCCAAAGCTTTGAGTTTTATTCCATTATGATGAGCTACCGGCTTAATGGATGCCTTACAGCGCAAAGTAAAATACAAAATTATCCGACATAATAACATAACTATTTACTGATGGAAAACACATTTTTCAAAATTTTCATCTATACAAAATCAGATTCCTTTTCCTATTTTCTGATACTTTTCTCCAGGTCCGTTTTATTTGTCATTGAATTTAGGAATTTATTTACTGATTTCAGATCTTTAGTGAAGTTCAAAATGTGACATTTTAAAACGAGTACTGTCTTCTGATTTTATTATTTGCAGTTTTTTTCAAAGCCCAAACCTCCAAAAGGCTTCTACATCTACGGTGATGTTGGTAAGATAAAACGATCCTGAGTCAATTTTTATTCATTTGCCGAGTACATGTTTAGCTAGCCTGAGATCACGTCTCTCCTGTAATTTAGCAAAAACGAGGTTTTAAAATGGCATTGACCCTTTCTTTTTCCAGGTACTGGGAAAACTATGGTTATGGACATGTTCTTTTTGCATGTAGAGAGTGAAAGGAAACAGCGGGTTCATTTTCATGGGTTCATGTTGGATGTACACAAAAGTAAGTGTGTTAAATCCCTTTATAGATGTAGTGGGTTCTGCACAGTTTGCCAGTGCAGTAATTATTGAAAATGATTTAAATGTTGATCATTATTAATTGGCATTGCTGGTTCTTTAGTTAGCCAGTTGACATTCCTTGACATCCTTAAATATTAGTAAAGCTTTTTGATGATTGAACTAAAAAACATGTTGTGAAGGAAGCTACATAAAAAATGAACTCAATTAGAAATAAGATTAATTGAATTCCAGTGTTCTCTTTGTTATCCGACGTTTACAGGGATACATCGACTAAAGCAAAGCTTGCCAAAGAGGAAGGTGGGCAAAATGGCCAAATCCTATGACCCAATTGCACCTGTTGCCATGGAAATCAGTGAAGAAACCAGCCTATTGTGCTTTGATGAGTTTCAGGTGAGGATAGCACACCAACAGCACCAGCAATGAGTTACATTTGGGGCCTTTCACATCATTGAACAGCGTCATTTTGAAAATGGCCTGTCAGGAATTATGTACTATAGCTCGATCAGATTGTCTTCTATATTCATGTATCTGCTCAGGTACACTGGCAGGATCTAAAGTCTGTTGCAAAACCACCAGTTCAGATCTTTGCATGTATTAAAAGGCAACTGAAACTCAAATTACTCAATAATAGCTCACATGTTTGTGTGAGCTAACCAATAAAGCTACTTCAGTGACCTTGAACCACCAATTACAGCAAGAGTAGGTGTCCCTGACCCTGGAGTGCCAGTATTTGCCAGGTTTTCTATCCCACCTAATTAGTTGCTATCTGTCTGAGATCAGGTGCGGTTCATCAGAGACCAGGTAGGATGGAAAACATGCTGGATTCCGGCACTCCAGGGTCAGGGACCTCTACCCTTGAATTACAGTAAATCTTGGGTAACCTATGAAGTAATCTGGAAATGTTGTATGTTTATAATGTAAACTATTTAGACTCTTCTAATACTTGCTCAGCTCACAGTATTAGTGTCTAATTCTAATTATACAAAATGTCCAAGTCAGGAAATTTTACCCCCCGCCCAACCTAGTCAGCAATATATGAACAGTATTACTGTAATACCACCCAAGCCTCCTCCCTCCCAAATGCCCCTCATCTGCCTCCCTGCAATCAATATCCCTAAGGTGGGATGTCTGGGTTATGACTGAATGGAAATTCACTTGATATATCCGTGACAGGTGACAGACATTGCAGATGCCATGATTTTGAAACAGCTTTTTGAGAACCTGTTCATGAACGGCGTGGTTGTGGTGGCCACATCTAACCGTCCACCAGAAGGTTAGTCCCATTTACCGTAAAATCAGCCGGACCTTTTTCAGTTTCCTGGAGATATTCTGTTTTTTAAAGTCCCTTCTTTCTAATAACATTGTGCTCTCTGAATCGAATTCATTTCTCTTCTGGAATCATTGTTGCTTATCTTGTATCCTTTAAGTGTATTTTCTCCTGTAGTGCACCATACAGTACATCGCTTACCTCTTATTAATGCTAGATCCACTTTATCTGTTTTTATTTTTATTTTTTTTTACTTTTTTTGGCCCTAAGGTTAATGGTTTCCCTCATATAAGCTAGTCTCACAAATTTTTGTGAAAGATTTATGGTTCAAGTAATAACTTGGATACCAGTATAATTTTAAACTAATAACAAAAGTAAGACGACTAATCCGAACTTAACCAGCAATCTCAGTGAGTTAGCTGCCATTCTGTGCTGCACAATCACTATATAGCTATAGACCAAACATGGTGTTGAATAAAAGGAATGCATGGGGATCTTAAATCCAAAAACACTTTCTAAGCACCTATGTTATTTACCTATGGCCTAGAGCAGCGTTTCCCAACCCAGTCCTCAGGGACCCACAGTCAGTCCATGTTTTTGCTCCTTCCCAGCTCCCGGTAGCAAAAATGTGGACTGTCTGCGGGTCCCCAAGGACCGGATTGGGAAACACTGGCTTATAACCAAAAGCTAAAATCTTAATGTGTGTGTTCTTTTCAGACCTGTATAAAAATGGCCTACAAAGGGTTAATTTTGTGCCTTTCATCGCTGTGTTGAAGGTAAAGAAATTATTTTGTTAAAGAAAATCTGTTTTTTTATTTTTGTGTATCTCTCCTAACCATTGCTATTAAGGCTTTTGTATTTGCAACAGCACAGTACTTGTTGGGTGTCAGACGTGATTTAAGAAAAACTCACACACACTACCCTTATGCCCACATATATAAATATGACATATTTACAGCAACTAGCTAAAATAAAACCACTCTGCCGTAAAATAAGCTTTTTCATTATTGCGTTGTGTGCATGGTTTCGGATGTGTTTTTCCTCTTAAGGGAGATGGAAGATATAAGTATTTTTAGTGTAAACGAAAGAGTGCAGATTGTGGACTGTTTGTCATCACTGAACTGTTCCCTTCAGGAACACTGTCAGACGTTGCGCTTGGACTCTGGGATTGACTACCGGAAAAGCAATCAACCAGCTGCTGGGAAATTATTCTACCTGTAAGGAAAACAAATCATGGAAAAAATCCATCTTTTTGTGCTGTGAAAGAGACTGTGGATTTAAACTGCCTGATTTTTGATTGTTAGTGTATCAGAACCACTTAACTGTGTTAATAATGCATGACTTTTAAATGATCACTTTATACAATGTATCAAATCCTTTCACTGATGGTTCAGAATTTATTCTCAGTAGCATTACATTCTGCAGCACTATACTCTCTACCATTATTTTTTAGAATTAAGTGATTAATTGTCATTGTTGACACACCACAGCAACAAAATGTCTTCTCTGCATTTAACCCGTATATGACATAGCCACAGGCAGCTAATTCAGCACCTGGGGAGCAGTGCTTGGGGGCAGTACCTTACTCAGGGAACCTCAGTGGTGCCTTGCTGGTCAAGGATTCAAACCTGCAATCTTTCAATTACAAGTGCACGTCCCTAACCATTAAGCCACCACTGCCCACATACTCTGCTGCAGTATACTATGTACTGTTATACTCTGCTGCACTATACTCTGTACCGTTATACTCTCTGGCACTATACTCTGTACCACTTTACTCATCTGATTGCACCTACTTTTCTTTTACTGCAGGGATTCCCAATTATTTTTCTCGGAAGACCAAATTCTATCAACAACAAAAAGCCAAGGGCTGCCGCCCCTGTTTAAGTTTTGCGAACTCTGTCCCACTGTATCACACCATTTACCTTGTATTCCCTGTTAGAAAGTACTTCAGACGTTGCTCAAATTATTTCTAAATAGGTTCTCGGAAATGTCTGACAACACCCCCCCATCCCAGAAGGACTAATAAATTAAGGTGAGTTGCTGTTTTTCACAGCGCCAGTGAAGCTGACGTGGAGGCAGTGGTGGACAGGCTGTTTGACGAGCTGGCACAGAAGCAGAACGACAGTGAGTAAATCAGTCTGTCTTCAGAGTGTACAGTGGCAGAAAGAAATATTTTCCTGCACTTAATACATCTTTGCTAGGCCTGTACTGAGAGAATATTCACTACAAAGTATACCCTCCATGTGAATTGTTACAGCATTTACAACCAGGAGAGTGTGTGTGCATGTTTTATTTATTTATTTATTTTTTACAGTTCCTGTGTATGATCATTACTGTCCAGTCTTGCGCTTTGGTTTCCATAGTTACTCGACCGCGAACGCTGAACGTTCAGGGTAGGAAGTTGAGGCTGAGTAAAGCCTGCGGGACCATTGCAGACTGCACCTTTGAGGAGCTCTGCGACAGGGTGAGTGAGGGGTCACCTGCTGGGGCGACGCATGTCACTGTATGCAGGGTGAAATAGCATAAACGGAAATCAATAATGCTGTTTAGTCATATAAGATGAAAGGAAAGACAAGCAACTAAAATCATATCTTGGTTCCTGACTAGTTAAATCTTGGGTTTTTGATGTTTCTTGACTAAGGATGCCTAGGATCTCTCTCATAAATAAGAACCACAGACCCAGGATCGCAAACCCAGTTGAATATTTTTCTCTCTGGACAGAGGTGGACATTTCAAGTCCAGAAAGTAAAAATCCAAACCAGGCTTTTGTTTCAACCAACAAGTTGAGTAAAAAGAGTCACAGTCTCAAAGTACTCAAGTGGTTGGTTGAAATAAAATCTTGGTCTGGATTTTTACTTTCTGGACCTGAAATGTCCACCTCTGTCTCTGGAGATGGTGTTGGTGTGAGACGTTGGATAATTAGGCTACAATGATAAATGCTGAACACTGTTTTATTGTGAGATATTGAAGAGACCAGAGTAATGTGCTAATTATTTGTTGGGTAGAATGTATGTCAGTAGCAACAATGCATTTTATATTGTCAGTTTTGACAATATATTTCTACAAACACGCTGCAACTGTGACCAGCCAGAGGCTAATGGACCTGAAGTTGAACACCCGAGAGTTAATTAATGGCTAATTATTTTAAATCGGTATTGGTAATTATAATATTATTTTGAATATCTTTTTTATATTAAGTGACCAAAGTAAAACAGGTATATCTGGTAGATGAAGCTCACCTAATCATCCATTTAATGGGTAATGCTGTTGTTGAGGAATTGATTGGATAGTTGAGGAATTGAATGTAAAGCTGATAATCTTGATGATCTTTGGCTGTTAGATATGCTGCCCTTTGCTTTCTGTAATGTAATGAAACGGAACGAAGTATAACGCAGCATTTTTGTGAATAACATGAGAACAAGAAGTTGATGTGAAGTTGATCTTCATTTATGCCTCTACTATAATTCATAGCTCATTCAACCACCATAATTCAACTGCCTTTGTTAACATTTGTATTGTATTTTTTATTCTGTCTGTTATGTAGCTGCATTTTATGCTTTAATGGTGGTGATACAGAACATAGTCTTATCTTTTCTTAAAATGAATACTATACTTGCTGATTCGGGTGGTTGAATACAGTACTGTGCAAAAGTCTTAGACAGTCAGAGGAAATGTTTAAAGCTATTTATCTGGGTACTAAATCTATATTTACTCAGATCAAATAACAATATAACATTAGAATNTTAAATCTTGGGTTTTTGATGTTTCTTGACTAAGGATGCCTAGGATCTCTCTCATAAATAAGAACCTCAGACCCAGGATCGCAAACCCAGTTGAATATTTTTCTCTCTGGACAGAGGTGGACATTTCAAGTCCAGAAAGTAAAAATCCAAACCAGGCTTTTGTTTCAACCAACAAGTTGAGTAAAAAGAGTCACAGTCTCAAAGTACTCAAGTGGTTGGTTGAAATAAAATCTTGGTCTGGATTTTTACTTTCTGGACCTGAAATGTCCACCTCTGTCTCTGGAGATGGTGATGGTGTGAGACGTTGGATAATTAGGCTACAATGATAAATGCTGAACACTGTTTTATTGTGAGATATTGAAGAGACCAGAGTAATGTGCTAATTATTTGTTGGGTAGAATGTATGTCAGTAGCAACAATGCATTTTATATTGTCAGTTTTGACAATATATTTCTACAAACACGCTGCAACTGTGACCAGCCAGAGGCTAATGGACCTGAAGTTGAACACCCGAGAGTTAATTAATGGCTAATTATTTTAAATCGGTATTGGTAATTATAATATTATTTTGAATATCTTTTTTATATTAAGTGACCAAAGTAAAACAGGTATATCTGGTAGATGAAGCTCACCTAATCATCCATTTAATGGGTAATGCTGTTGTTGAGGAATTGATTGGATAGTTGAGGAATTGAATGTAAAGCTGATAATCTTGATGATCTTTGGCTGTTAGATATGCTGCCCTTTGCTTTCTGTAATGTAATGAAACGGAACGAAGTATAACGCAGCATTTTTGTGAATAACATGAGAACAAGAAGTTGATGTGAAGTTGATCTTCATTTATGCCTCTACTATAATTCATAGCTCATTCAACCACCATAATTCAACTGCCTTTGTTAACATTTGTATTGTATTTTTTATTCTGTCTGTTATGTAGCTGCATTTTATGCTTTAATGGTGGTGATACAGAACATAGTCTTATCTTTTCTTAAAATGAATACTATACTTGCTGATTCGGGTGGTTGAATACAGTACTGTGCAAAAGTCTTAGACAGTCAGAGGAAATGTTTAAAGCTATTTATCTGGGTACTAAATCTATATTTACTCAGATCAAATAACAATATAACATTAGAATATATGAAAATTAAAAGAACACAACAAACACTGACAAGAATTGCTTCTGTTCTCCAAAAAGTTACTGATATCTAGTTGGATGGCTAGATGAATTCTGTTTCAGTTTCCAAACCTCTGCTCAGGGGCACCTCAGCTATTCCATGTATTCATTACATTTCATAACCAGCTTACTTACTTAATTAACTAAATTAGTGTTAAAAAGCCAGTGAGGTATTGATTAGCGAAACAAAGTGTGCTTATGGTTGAGTCAAAAAATACAAGGGTGTATTTGACAGTCACAAATACTCGGTTGACTTTAAGAGAGGTTTTGAAATGGCTAAGATGACAGACATAACACCAACATAAAGGTCATTTGTACATAATTTCCTTTGACTGGCTAAGACTTTTGCACAGTACTGTAGGTATTTTCCCATAGCCAATAAATGATCCATAATTAAAACCAAAAGTTAAACCAGCTGAGTAAGTCTGCTGGATCCAGGGTAGATGTCACTGATAAATACAGTATGCTTACTTTCTGGCTTATAATTTCTGTGTGATGAGGTCCCTTCTTAGTATCCAGTTACGTTTCTGGACTTTGTTTTGACTGGTTAGCATGGTGGTTGAGGTATCCCTTAGCGAAAAAAGAAACAGGTATTCTGTTTTTCTGTAGCCGTTGGGTGCTATTGACTATCTGGAGATATCCAGGCTGTTTGATACAGTCTTCATACGCCACATTCCCCTCCTGACGCTGCACAAGAAGACCCAAGCTAGACGCTTCATAACCCTCATCGACACCCTCTACGAGCATAAGGTGTGTATCAGGCAGATGCTGGTCTTCCACTCCTCTGTGAAGCCTGCTGGACAGGTTTCGGATGCACGTGTAAGAGAGTTGTGTCACCAGTGTCCGGGCACTCGCAGGTGCGGGTGGTGATTCTGGCAGAGACGCCCCTGGAGAGCATATTTGTTCACGATCAGCACAATCACGACGACGAGCATCACAGGATTCTCATGGATGATCTGGGATTGACTGGGGTAAGAACTTACAACTCAACAGAAAAACACAAAAGCAGATTCATATGGAAAGGTCAGAGCTGGTACAGACCAAAAATTGGGTATCCATCAAGTTTCAAATCATCGAAGATGGTTTACCCAGAATTTCTTTACAGCACCTACTCACTAACAAGATTATCTCTACTAAAATCTTTACAATGTTGCTACATGTGTAACTCAGTGTTCAGTCTTGAATTCCTTTGTATTTTGACCTGTATTAGATATCATTAGATAACAACAACTATACACACACTTGTAAATGGCTTATCGTAAGGATAGCTTGTTGACACAGTCAATTATATTATCTTGCTTTTGCTTTCAGAATGTCATCAGTACATCCAATGGGTGCCTCTTATTTATTCTGAGAGTCTACTCAAAGGCTTTCATTTTTCACCTCCCTGTCCTGTATCACAATATAAAATTTGCTCATAAATTCCAAAAACTCCATCTGATTGGCTGTTCTCTTCTGCTTGGCATGCCAACCAGGATTCCGCCAAAGACCTGGCCATCTTCAGCGGGGAAGAGGAGGTCTTTGCTTTCCAGAGGACCGTGTCCCGTCTCACGGAGATGCAGACGGAGAAATACTGGAGCGAAGGAGAGAGGAAGGCCACGTAGCGATTGGCTTAAATCTCAACGAGTGTCTTCAAGTAAAACGATTCAGTGGGACAAAGCGTTCAGTCAGCGCACAATATATGTAAACTGGTCCATAATCGAACCTTTACTTGACATGAATTTTACGTGACTGCTGCACTTTGATCCATATGCACTCATGTACGGATGATTGTATTACATTCTAAAAGCTGCCTTTGATCAGTTTTTGACCATATTGTATATGGGGCAGTACATGATATGTATTTGATTATCTTAAATGATTTTTTTTTTTACTTTTCATGGTGGCTGGGAAGAGGTTTGTTGTTGGAGGGTATATTTGGGTAGCTATTGACTCACCTCCAGCTTTGGAGGTTCAGTACTTGTCCGCTGATCTGTACGTATGGACGTGCATTTTCTCCCAGTGTTGCATGGCTTTTCATGGGATTTCATCCTGCAGTCCAATGTTGTGACTGATAGTTTTGTAGTGCACAATATAGTGAATGAATTTTATACTTGGGAATTCGAACAGCACTACAAAATGGCCAATTCACTATATTGGGGACTATATGGTGGGTGTATGGGTGAGTGTGTGTGTGTGTGTGTGTGTGTATGTATGTGTGTGCACCCTTGCAGTGAACTGTAATGCTGCCTGAAGCGTGTTCCCCAGGACAGACTCCAGCCTCTCTACAGTCTTGTATTGAGCAAGCAGTTAGAAGTTTGATGGATGTTATTGTTGGTCTTACTATTTATTTATTTATCATTATTATTTTTTTTAAATCCTAGCTCCCTGTTTGCTCTTAGCTGCCCAGATGCCTCAAGCATAGGCTGTAAGGCTCCGCTTATGGATGTCCAGGCTGATGCTATCTTTACACACTGCACCTGGTTCCATGCAGGAGAGCGGCTTGATTGGTTGCAATGCTAATTTCTGCAAAATGGGAGCCTGTTGATACTGCACTGGTGCTAATACAGCAGGCAGCCCTTCTTCCCTAATACTGCAGAACGGTGCTAGTTTGTTCCACAATAGAGAAATCTCAAGTATCACCAAGCTGACTTGGTGTTTTGCAGTCGCGGAACTGCAGATTAATCTCAAAGCATTCATTCTTGTAATGGGTTAGTATGGTAGATAAACCTTACCAAATAAATCCCCAGGAGACACTCTGCACTTATTCAGAAAAAACTATTCATCTGTGGAAATGGATGCAGTATAAACTCTGTTTAGGTTTATTTAGAAAGCATCCGTTTTCATCTCAACTAAATGCTTATTAACAATGAAGGAAAAAACTGCTGGTCCTGTATTGATTAAATACTCCACCATGTGTCATATTATTTTATGCATTGTGTATTTTGATTATCACTTTTTAATGTGATGTGTCATAGGATTTTCCAGAGGTTTTTATATATTTGAATCTGGTTATTTCCAAAATGCTGCTGAAGTACAGCAGCCTGTATAATTTGGCTCATGCATTAAAATCAATTTTTAAAAATCATACATGTCAACCAATCAGTTGATTTGTGTCAAGATGAACCCAAATTTTACGTAACCTATAAATTCAAACTTTAGGTTTCTAATTTTCTAATTTATAGCCACCCAGTCTGACAGCCCGTGCCGGACAACAAAGCAACACATGGGTGTAAGTTATGCTTTGTAATGTAAATTGAAACCTAACTTTGACCCCGGAGCTTTTTTTTGCGTGAACTTTGTGTTCACCGTGGATTCTGTTTCTTTTAGCAGCCACTACTCTGTTGGATACAAAGTTTACTATGTTTCTGCAGTCTTACTTCACAATGGAATGATGGAATGGATGCTGGAATGACTGTGGCTTTTGCTCAGTTGGAATTTCTCAGCATGGCTTGGTCAGGTGTTTCTGAAAGTAAGTCAGTGAGTTGTCAAGGCGATGCTTGACATAGGACGTTCCAGGGAAGTGAGATCAGTTTTAGGGGCTCAGAGATGTTGATACAATAATTGAGATGGACCCTTTGACTCTGAATTGGACAAGCGGTTACAGAAAATGCATGGATGAATGGAATTGAGATGGGGTAAAGTCCACCTCTCACTGAAGCCAAGGATACACTGATTAAATCCATTATTTGTCTTTACTGAACTAATTGCAGTTGACATCATTATAAAGTAAAGATAATATTTCCCTATGGAGTGATTTGCACATGTGGCATAGATCTACAGAAATTGGACTGTGGTCCGCAGAAATGAAAGCTGAAGATTTTGACGGAAGTATATGGCAGATATTTCTATTGATGTAAATTCGCTCTACTTAGATATATGTGGCAACAAAGAGGTGAAATGCAGTTTAAAGTATTTTAGATATAAGCCAAATCAGTACAAAGTGCTCCTTTAAGAAGAGATTTCATATAACCTGAACCAAACATTTCCCAAAATGACTTTGGTGTGGCATATACTGCATATCATGATATATAAGCAATATTGAGTATTATTTTTTCAGCTTATTTTTTTCCAATATGAAACAGAAACAAATGTATACTTGGAATTATTTAATGTACAGATAATGTATTGATTCAATGGGTATCTGAATTATACATATTCTTTGTGTATTTAAAGTATTGTTTACATAACATGTATAATCACTGTTGTTCAAAACCATAGCAACAATAAAAAAGGTCATTCAAAAAAAGCTTGCATGACAGACCCACAACTCCAAACAAATAGTGTTCTGATTAACCTAGAACTGATTTATTAAAAGCAGATAATGGATAAATATTATTTGTAGAATGCCGAGGACAAAGTCTAGTTTTTTAAAACCTCTTTCTTGAGGTGAAGTGGAAAAACAACATTAGTTTCATCGTTGTAGTGTGTTCCTTTCAACAATGTATACACTGCACATACAGAGATCATTCCTGGAGGTTCAGATTCAGAATCAGTTGCTCATTTCAGAAGTTATTTTCACGTTCATCTTGATAGGCCAGTATCAGAGTACCACTAAGAAGGGGCTGTGGGCAGTGAATTTGGACCTTATTTGATATAATCCAATAAATAAAATATTTGAAAGGCACCAATATTGGTCAGCAACCTTAAATTGTTATAGAATTCGTGTTAGTAATATTGTATATAACGGAATGAACGCTCACAGAATGTATAGATTTCTTTTAGTGACGAATAATTAATATTTCTATTCACAAAGGCCAGGCATGCAACAATCTTTTGCATTGTTCACCGTAAAAGGGAATAGTACACGATTAATATGGTCGACAGTTGTGACAGAAGGTAATATTTGAAATTAAAGTGTCCTCTTACTTGTGACTCGTCTTACGTATGGTTAAACACCTGTTTTTTTGTTTTTGGTTTTTTTTTATTATAATGTTTCTCTCCCGTAAGAAAGCAGTGCATTTTGGATGGTGTCTCTTTAAAAGGCGATCCTCTCTCTGATATTGAAGGGGCATGTCTTTTTAAACGGCTTTAGTCGAACCTCTATTACGTTATGTATAAGTTTGTGCTTTTTTTGTATGATTTAATGGCGCTAAATGTGGAATGGAGCAAACGTTACGTGCATATAGACGATGCAGCAAACTGTCAAGGTCAGGTCGCCGTTATGCTTTGAGTTGACGCCTTACAACGCGAAAAGGCAAAGGGAGATGATTGATTTCGCCTTTATTGCAAACCTCATTACTGATAGGGAAGCGCGTGCCCCTCTCTTGTCGAGTTATTAAAAGGGACTTGAAAGGAAATTGTCAAGATGGCAGCGACAAAAGATATGGGAATGCACGGATCCTTGATTTTTTGCTTTCATTTTTTCCAAAACGTGTTTTGAGACTGAATCGATGGGGTGATCGCCGGATCCTTCCTCATGGGAAATGCTACTTGTTTTTGTTTGCAACTTGGGCACGTTTTCTCTCCTAGGATTTCTCGCTAAATGAGACACTTTTGCCGTCCGCAGCCGCATCGCATCAGTGCCGTTGCGTTAGGCAGGAAGAGCATTCCCTCAACTGGCACAACCTAGTTTCATACTGTATAATAGATAGGGGGAGAAAAAAAAACTAACCAGTCCAAGTGGCTGTTGTAAAACAATCTGCAGAGCGAGGGGCTAAGCCAAAGCGAGAACAGCCGTGATACATCCGAGAGTAGCCAAAATTTCGCTATTTCGCCAACCTGCCTGAAAAAAATCGCCTCCATCTATTTGATCTTGCTGTTGTGGCACTATGTGAAATAGCGATTCGACTGCATTATTGAACACCAGTTTGCAAGTTTAGCCTTACTGTGTTTTACTTTTGGATGCATTATCAGGAAAATGATTGTTGTGGAAATACGATCCTCGAGAGTTTGGATTTTTAATTTTTGCAATAAGCGATTTCTTAAGGAAATCTTGCCAATAACCTTGAAATAGACAGGAAACACGTGCAGACCTGTTCGCAAGACAGCTACTGAATGAGGCAAAATATTTACTAATCTCAGCGGAGCAACATAACACCGTAGATTGACCGTTCGTTTACTGTTACCCAAGCATTAATACATTTCCTCAAACTGAATTTTAGGGCAAATTGGTTTTTTACATTCTCTTTTATTTTTTTGAGCAAATTATTTTTTACAGTTCTTTTATAAATCACTGCAGGGGAAATGTGTTACTAGATACTTTCTTGAATGACAACAGAGATCAACGAAACTGAAAAGATTATGGCACTCGCTCCGGCAACTGATCCTATTTCTTCGGCGGATATTGAGATAGACCCAGATTTTGAGCCACAAAAAAGACCAAGATCGTGCACTTGGCCTCTGCCTAGACCTGAATCAAATGGCAACAAAAGCGAACTGACTGATGCGGACATAATCCCCGAAGAGGTGGACGATGGAGAGGACGCCGCTGGATCTGCCAGCCACGATGCCAGCATCGCAACCGAGGACCGAACCAGCTCCGGCGGAATAAACGGAGCCCCGGCCGGCGGGGACTGCGCCGATTCACGGCTTAATTCACAATCTCTGGCTGCGGTGGACAACAGTTCCAACAACGACAGTCCGAGGCCACAACAGCCGCGGAAGTCCTGCCGGAGAAATGCCTGGGGTAACCTCTCCTATGCGGACCTCATCACTACAGCAATAGAGAGTTCGCCCGAGAAAAGGCTAACCCTGTCCCAAATCTATGACTGGATGGTCAGGTGTGTGCCATACTTTAAGGATAAGGGCGACAGCAACAGTTCGGCTGGATGGAAGGTAAAAGCCCAACGCACATGCAGCATCAAAATAAAACACACGTCATCCGTTTTCATTTACATATTACCCACTTAGGTCATTGAATCTGGGATGCCTCAGAAATGGTTTGCAATAGTATTTTTGATAAAAAATTTATTAAAAATATTTATTGATTATAATCATACGTTGATTTATTCAAAATGCATTTACATACTGTATACTCACATGCACCTTAACTGAATCTTATACCATCATCTTCATTTCTGAATGCAAAACTGCAGCGCAAACGAATTCTGTATGTGTTAATGGCTCTAGTCATGCGATCAATGCGAAAGAGAGACTGGTGCTTATTCATTTCTCCGATAAAACAAAGGTGAGCACGAGCGTTAGCGGAGGATGTTCACAGAGCGTAATGCGCTGCGGTTCACCGCGATGTTTACTGCGGGCAAAAAGCACCGACATCCCCACAAGATCACTATTGATTCTTCTAGATAAACTCAAGTGCCGAAATTGTTTGACAAAACACTGGACTACTGCATGAACAGGAAATAAAGATTTGAAGCCTTGTTGAACTGTTTGCCCCACCCCCCCTGCACCCTCCCCGTTTTTTAGGCGGGGAGCAAAATTAGATTGCAAAACTTCTCAACTAATTAACAAAAGCGATGAGAAGAGGCATTATAATACATCCATGTGTCAGGCCTACCTGCTCGTTCAGGTGGAAAATTAAACCCGGAGCCATATGCATTAACACTTTTACTGTAGATTGCAATTGACACTCTTTTGTGACTATCCCTCTGTTTACAAATTTCAGGGTTATTACAGTGGATCTTTAAGTTATATAAAGAGTTTTGGTTTCTGACTGACGTAATATTTATGTAGGAGGCAATTTGCATACTGACATTGCAGTCTGATACAGAAACTAGTATGAATATTTACTTGCTCCTTCGGCTGCCCAGTTATTGCTGAGTGTCTTACTACTGAAACAGTGAAATTAAGCTGTGAGTGACGGGACTGTGCAATCTAATTGAAGACAATAGCACAAAAGATCACTTCAGTCCTCCAGAAAGTAATTGTCTTAAAAAAAAACAAAAATTGAAAAATAAGACAATTTTACCTCTCAAGAAAATAACTACCGTGCCTATACATAAATATTTCTTTATTTATTTCCTCCTGAAAACTGTATGGAAACTGTACGCATGGGCTCATGGTGGCTACTGCCATTGGCTGTCGTGTTCACCACCCCTGCTCCTGATTGGCCAATTACTTCTGCAGAGGAATGAATCAGCTGACAAGAAGTGTATGTAGGTCAGTGTGTAGTAATGTGAATGTGCCTTGCCGTTCTTCGCGAATTGGCTTTGTTATAAGGGTGTAGCACATACTAAGAGCTCTATAAGAGGAGCTTTGAACAAAGTATTGCAGTGGGTCAGGTAAGGATGTAGGGTTCTATTTGGCTATTCCCAAGATTTTAGCCTTTTGGCTGCTCATATACTGTGACAGAGTACAAAATACACCAAACAATGGGGTCTGGTTGCAATGGGGTCTGAGCTCATTGTTCCTGATGCACTAGTACCGCCAATGCCACCATTATACCAGTTTTCAAGGACAATTACAATTAAAGATAGCATTAAAATTCAATGCCCACCAAACTGTATCAGCATTGTTTTCAAATAATCTGAATGAAATAGAATTTGTTGATTATGCAGAATTATACGTGGAAGTTCAATGTACCTCATATAGCATAACAATACTACACACACAGAAACACAATTTTATATACACAAACACACACACAAACACACACACACATATATATATATCAACTTTCAGGTCCACATGTGTGCAGATGTTGGTAAGATAAGATATGCTTTATTGATCCCAGGCGGAAATTCTACAGTGTATAATTATTGAAAGAAGTCAGATCACCACTTGCCTGCTAACCTGCTAAGTATTAAACAATGACAGTACATGTTGGTCTTGGACAAACACAGCTCTGTATTCTCACGCAGCTATTTGCAGCTGGTGTCTCAGTTCATGACCAGCAGCAGCACAGTGGGTGGCGTTTGGGAGCAGCAAATGGACGGGGGAGGGCGGCACAAAGGAAGAAACCAAATGATGGATTGAGTCAGTCTGTTCCACATTAGCAGGGCAACGGAGAAAGGATAAATGTTTATGGACATCTTAGAGCAGCGTTTCCCAGTCCAGTCCTTGGGGACCTGCAGACGGTCCACGTTTTTGCTCCTACCGGGAGCTGGGAGGTAGTGAAAATGTGGACTGTCTGTGGGCCCCCGACGACCAGGTTAGGAAACACCATATTAGAGCATGTGCAGGAGCAGCTCATAAAAACAGGTGCCCTTTATGCGTTACAAGGCCAGAAACTGGGGGGTAGGGAGGGGGGTTGGTTTTAAAATTAAATAATTAATAAATAAAAAAATAAAGAAGTAATTGTTCTTAGTATTGTATTCTATTTATTTTGGATTCTACAGAGCATATTTATTCTTGGTGTAACATTTCTGTTTAATTGAATCATAGACTTTTATTTTGAAATGTGCAAGAGGATGCACAGTGGCGCACAGTGAATGGGGAGGGTGAGAACTTAATAGGTGCTTCTGGGTGTGACTTGTGCTGTATGGTCATCTAAGAAAATGTTTTAATTAAACTGGTAATACTCCCGGAGTCTAAAGACCCACACCTGTGGAGATACTGCTGAAGATCCCCAAATTAAAGATTACATCGCCATGATACTTCTACTCCTCTTCTCTATAATTGGTCCCACATTGTCCTGGTGCTTTATTACATTTTGCCACAGAATATTTTCAGAACAAACTTGTCAACATTATATCTGGTCAGACACATCATTAGTGTCTGCTGTGTAGTTCTCTGTTTAGCAGTAATTGGAGGTCAGAAATTGCCGATATATGAAACATAGACCTTTGGCATCTCTAAAGTGTAGTGAAGCCACTCATAGAAGATTATTATGTGTTCCAACGATGGTCTTATATTGAAGATCAGCATGCTGAGTTGTAAACATTTACCAAGACATTTTATAGTGTTGAAAGAATTACTCTCAGTAATTGTTACAAGAACAGCACATGATTGAGTGAGAGATTATTATGCTGACAGCATAATGTATTTTTAAAGTTGTATTATGTTTCTTATACAAGTTTTTTTGGATTTTGTTAAACGTAGCACTTTGATTACAGTCTGATTATAGCGGCATATTTTCTTACTTGCATAGAATCAATACCTAGCTTTTTTCTAGAGCCAGTTGTTTAGGGGAATCTCAAGATGACAAACAGCATTAAGGAGCTTCTCCATTTTACCGTAAAGGAGACAATGTAAGGATGTCATTATAATAACCTAGGCGGCCAGTAAATCCCACAGTAATATTGACTCGAGCAGGAAAAAATTACAGATTTTCGAACACAGAAATGCCGTTTGATGACGTAACAAAGTGAAAGTTTTAAGACATCAAAGGACTTGTAAATGCAGCAAAGAAACACGTCTGAAAACCAGAGGTGGACATTTCAAGTCCAGAAAGTAAAAATCCAGACCAAAATTTTGTTTCAGCCAACCAGCTGAGTACTCTCTGACTGTGACTCTTTATGCTCAACTGGTTGGTTGAAACAAAATCCTGGTTTAGATTTTTACTTTCTGGACCGGAAATGTCCACCTCTGCTGTTAATGAACAACAAAAACTGAATTTGGGGTTAGGGTTAGGGTTAGGGTTAGGGTTAGGGTTAGGGTTAGGGTTAGGGGTTGCAAAATTGGGTTCCGGAATGGTTTGTGTATCTTGTATTTTCGTGGCTAGAGTGAATTTAGCTATCTGCGACACTAATGTTCATCTCTTTGCGCAGAACTCTATCCGGCACAATCTGTCCCTCCACAGTCGTTTCATTCGGGTGCAGAATGAAGGTGCCGGCAAGAGCTCCTGGTGGATGGTCAACGCCGAGGGTGGGAAAGGCGGCAAGGCCCCGCGGCGGCGAGCTATGTCTATGGACAACTGCAACAAGTACACCAAAAGTCGCGGACGGGCAACCAAGAAGAAGGTAGCCATGCTGGCTGCTCGTGAAGGTAGCGTAGAGAGTCCGCCGGGCCTCGCCCAGTGGTCCGGGAGCCCCACCTCCCGCAGTAGTGACGAGCTCGACGTCTGGATGGACTTCCGCTCACGTACCAGCTCCAATGCTAGCACTGTCAGCGGCCGCCTATCTCCTATCCTAGCCAATCCTGAGCTGGACCAGGTGCCTGACGACGACATGCCGCTCTCCCCCATGCTGTACTCCAGCCCCAGTGGGGTATCCCCCTCGTTTAGCAAAGCCTCCCCCTCAGAGTTACCCTACCTGGCTGACCTGGCTGGAACCATGAACCTGAATGAGGGCCTCTCTGACAGCCTCATGGACGACCTCTTGGATAACATGAGTTTCACCTTATCTCAGCAGCAGTCTCTGGGAGACGCCGATAGTGGCAGTGAGACTGGCAGTGCCCTGCACAGGAGCTCCAGCTTGACGCTGGACCCCAAAAACAGCGGTTTGGGTTCTCCTCCTGGCAGCTACACCAACTCCGTGTACGACGCCGTATCCCTGCGCTCGTCGCCCATGCAGACCATCCAGGAGAACAAGCCTGCCACCTTTTCTTTTGTTTCCCTCTTCGGAAGCCAGAACCCGTGTTCCGATCTGCTTCGCCACAGCGATGTCATGATGACGCAGTCCGACCCACTGATTTCACAGGCCAGCCTCCCGGCTTCTTCTCAGTTCCTACGTCGCAACAACGTGCTGCGCAATGACCCCATGATGTCCAACAACCTCTGTTCGGTGAACCACTCCGGTCAGTCCCAGAACTCCTTGCTGATGGGCTGGCACACCAGCTTGTCCTCCACCAAGGAGGACCTTGAGTTGACCAACGAGGCAAATAACCTCAAATCTGTCAGGCAAAAGCTCCAGTCACCTATGCAAACTGGTTCCTCTGAGTCCTTCATGTATCCCATCTCCAATGGTGGCGGCGTCTCCATCCCACTCACCAGCCAGGAACATTACCTCAGTGACCCAGACCTGGACATGCTCAGTAGCAGCCTGGAGAGTGACATGGACTCCTTCATTCGCAGTGAGCTGCTGGATACTGATGGTTTGGATTGCAGCTTGGATTCTCTGACCGCTGCTCAAAACACCATCAACCTTAATGCGGGGAATCTCGCTAAATCTAAAAAGACCTCATCCCAGGACCAGCTACCCGGTTTAGAAGCTGGTCTCTGAGGACTAGAAGATGGGGCAAGATAAGCTTGAGTTCCAGCTGTACTTAAATATTCCATTCCCCGTATGGTTGTTCAGCCTTGTGAATGTAAATGTCAGTAAGCTCAGATAGTAAACATATAGATCTGTGTTTATTAGATATATCCCCAATGAAAGGATCATGTTACTTAATTTATTTTTTCACCACATGTTTTGGTAAGCTGTAACATCTGTTTGTTATATTTTATATGGCCAGATGCAGTAGTATGAGGTATTATGAAATGAGCAACAGTATTACAAGGTGTTTAAAAGACATGTCAATGTGTAGAATATTTTTGGCAGCAGATTAGGTCAATAACTTATTAACGTTAGTTTTTTTTATGCAATTAAACAATCTTTTAGCGTAAGAGTTGCATAAGTAAAAAAAAAAAAAAACGTTAATAAAAATGAATATACTCATGGTGGACCATTGGGAAATACAGGACTGGTTTTCTGGTTTTTATCGTAATTCCTGCTTGCTACCCACTGCATGCGTATTTCCGTTTAACAAAGGCCAGCTGGCTGTCTTCAAGCAGAGTGCTGCAGAACTTAAAATAACCAGCTGGGCTGATTTAGAGCTTGAGCGCAGGAGTAAGTGGCTGTAATGAGACATTGTTATTCACAGCAGAAAGTGAGCTTTTATTTTGACACTGAGTTTTTTGTTTTTTTTTTGTGCTGAATTGTGTTTCAACAAGTTTTTGCATAAAGAACAAGACAATAGGTGCATCTTGTTTTAAAAATCCTTACATATTTAGGGTCCTGTGACCTAATGCCACTGACCATTTTGCAGTAGATTTAAACAGATTTGTAATACACGACAAATCATTATTATATGAAAACGATTACTAGAACTACACTGAGTACAACAATGAATGTGTCCCATGTTTGTACTACTTAAGTAAACTATTTTTACCACTGGCTGAGCATTGCATATATAAACAGTGATGTGCTCATCAGATTTTGGTTATGCAGCAAAATGAAAATTAAAAAAGAATAATAAAAATACTATATTCCACTGATAATATACTTGATTAAATGCTTTGATATGCAGCCTGCACTTAGAGATGAATATTTCATCTTAAATTATCTGAAACATAATCTAGGTTTCAGCTAACACTATTGGTTGTTGCAAGGTCAACCAGAACTCGAGAGTTTTCGGTTTTTAGTGCAGAAGTATCAGAGAAAGTTAAAATGAAGTGCAATCTCTTGTCTGGAAATTTTACCAGCCTTGACGTCACAGCGCCAGTACAATCCATATACATGTGCATATATAGATGACCTGTGTTAAACGACAGAGTTATTTCTGTGATATTATTTGTCTAATTGTATTGTGTAATATGCAGCCCCAAATCTTTTTTTCTTTTAATTAATTAAGATTCGTGATTCAAAATCCAACCCAAAACCAGCTCAAAACCTCCTGCCAACACATTGTGTATAAGTATATCCAGAAGGATTTCTGTTTTAGTATTAGTTGTATTCAGTTTTTCCTGCAAAAACTGAAAAAGTACGTCTAAAGACAACGCAGTGCCCCGTTTTTTTTTTTTTTTTTTGTTAAAAAAACGGGCTTATTATTTTAAGCTAATTAATTTTTATGTAGTTTTCAGGGTACAGTAATTCTTGTAAAAATATCCTGAGGTCTTGTATAGGGGTTCCAACACTGTTATGGTTCTGATTATATGCAAGAATATTTAAAATCACAAGTCTTACATCTGTGCTTTTGTACTTTTATTTACCCCATCGCATTATAAATAATTCTACTTTCCACGATAGATTTTTGAAACCGAATAGAGGTTTTGTACTCATTGTTGATGTGTTGGTTTTAATATATAATCTCAGAACTATTATCGCTGTAAACCGAAGGTGTTATGAAATGAGATTGTCGTTCTCGCTCAGCGAGAGGTGAATCCAGTGTTTTATTCTAGTATTTTCTGCCTTTCTGCATCATGACAGGTGCTGCACGGAGTGCTAAATTGGATTCTAGATAATTCGAGTTACGCAGCGGAAACAGGCATGAAATAGAAACGGTTTAAAAACGACGCGTTATGTGGCGGCATAGTATTTAGACACATTTTTATGGCAGAACAATATTTAGGCATGCACGTTTAACGTGCAAACGATATCCTGACCAGAAGGAAAAGACTGAAACTGTAAAAGTATGTAGAATATAAAAGGGGAAAGGGTTAATTCTGCTTGCAGAGTGAAATGTAGTTGTACATTGCCGTGCCATGTTCTAATCTTTAGGGAAAACTGTAGTGAGTACTAGGTAGATGCTGTTTAACTTATTTTATTGATGTTCAGATTTTGTTTCTTTATAAGAAACAGATGGCAGCTGTTACTTAAATCTAAGGCCTTCTACGAAAATGCAAACTTGATTTTTCTTACATAAAAATATACATGGGGCAACTGACTATCAGGAAAGGTATTCTGCTCTTCTTGTGTGGTTGCCGCGTATTTCACGCCATTTTGCTACCATATTATAAAGATCATTATTTATTCAGACATGTGAATAATACTAGGAGTGGCGGACAGCGGGAGTGGAGCTCCGCGGTTCGGGAGCCGATAATGCGGGTGTCCTGCTTTTCTGAAATGGCGCTCTCCACACTAGTTATATGCATGTCTCTGAATGAAATGGCAGATAGCAAAACGACCTTCAGGTCAATGCATGAGTCACCTTTTCATTGGACACCCACATTGCTCAACTGTCCTAAAGCATGAAATCCTTTTTTTATTCAGTGTTACCCAATAAAAACCAATAAGTAACCTAACAGTATGCGTTTATACTAGTATGTGATATGAAATTTAGCCAATTGCATTTTGCTGTGTTCGTGCCCCGTCCCAAATGGTGCCATCTTTACACTCATTTTAGAATGTGCCTCTTATTGATTATTCCCTTAAAATTATATGTATTCTAATGTAAATCGGTAAATTTACAGTGTAATTATATCCGTGACCATAGCATGATTTAAAAATCTTTTTTTTCTCCGTTTATTCCAAAGATAAACATTATTAACTCCTCAGCTCTTCAGTGAAAACATCAGAGGATCATACTGTAAAGTCTTTGGACGTTTATGTTAATGTACATAATAATGTACATAAGCGGATATATTTCAATGTATTAAATTAGTTATAAGTTTTATTCCAAGTAGTTTCTTGGTGGAAAAAAATGACACTCGATTTGAGGGTCACATCAAACGGGACTGACATGGAAGGATGAGCGAGCACCTCGCCAAAGGTCTACCATTTTTTTATTGATCCCGTTTTCTTGTATCCTTGTTGAAATATCCTGAAACAAGTCATCTCATGTACTAATTGTTTATATTTAAAATGACTTCGAATTTCCCGATGTATTACATTTTAAAAAGTGGTGTTCGAATGAATTATGGTGTATGCATATCAATAAAGGTCGGAGAAACCTTGTTTTGCTTTGCATTATAAATAAAGATGGCAGTCGTCGGTGACTTGAGTGTGTTTGATTTACTGTTTTCTCCGTTACTGTCAAAATATGAAACCTCTAAATTTCTGGGGTAAAGGGGTACTCTTTACAATTGCAGTAGCTGCACATACTTTTGTTATTTTAGGCCTGATAGTGTGCTGCGTATCATTAACACGTTTTAGGGCAATATATACATGAAAGCTGGATAAAATAGCTTGTCTTGGGAATTCTTAAGGCAAACGCAGCTAGCCTGTCCGTGTGCCTCACCAGCTGAACACACGACTGCGGTCACGGTAGCGGCTTTTCCTGCGCGGCTTTATAATCTGCAGTATTACAGCAGCGCTGCAAATCACACAGATGACATCGTGTTCTCTCCTGCGCGAGACGGGAAATTGCGCCGTGTATCCATGGAGAACCTGCAGCCCTGACCAATCATCTGGCCGCAAAGCACGTGACATCGGGCGGCACCTCCAGGGACAGGACAGGAGCTCGAAGACAGATGGACCAGTGAACACTGGTCTGCTCGGACCGGTGCATGTTTGCAGTAAAACGGCACGTTTGGATAGCAACATTTAATTTAAAAATACACACTACTATCGACAAATATAGTGGCGACCACCTGGGAAACTGTGCTTTCTGAAAAATTAGAACATTTAAAGGGAGTTAATACCTGCTACCAAAATGTCAAAACGAGATATGCAACGATGTAAAATGAAGTAGACTTTTACCCATCTTTTTAAATCTATTCTTCAGCCTACTGCGAGGCTGCGAAGTTATAGTTAATTAAAACAAAAAGTTGATATCATATAAACTCCTACTTGGACAGCGGCTTGAACAATTGAACATTTGTTCCATAATCCGCTGAACTGTGATGTTGTTACATAATTTCATTTTAACAGTCCAAACCCCTTTCGTTAGGTATGTGTATTTTGTCACTATGGTTACTTTTCTGGCACTCCCACGTATACAAACGAAAAAGGCTGAATACACAAAACACACCTTCGTCCCCCAATACGTATAGACTTTTGTCAGTAAGTAAAACAGAAACAATCTTTACTTTGGTTTTTAGCGGTTATTGAACCACTGAAATCAAAGTGCAGTAGAGAACCGAAGTGCTGTCTGCAAGCTGTTATCGCCGCTCTGAGGATTTCTTGGCAGGACCGCTTATTTACTCGGTGCTATTTTAAGATTGTTAGTGGATGTATGTTCCTCGCTGATAACCATTGTTTAACTCCCAAATGAATTCTGTATTTTGACGTGTTGATGTATCATTTTATCGCAGCACCATTAGACAAGATAATCTAGGCGTAATGCCACGCTTAATTTGATAAACAGAATTTAGAAATAGATTAATTGAACGATTATCCATAAAGATTCATAATGGTTGCGATGTTATCCGTTGTGATACTCATTCTAGAACTGGCTTTCTGTGTGTTTAGTAGGTATGAAATGAGTCACATTCTATAGGTTATGTGCATTTATTACAACAGCAAAACAGTACGCAAACTATTGTATCATAACATATCTGAAGCGTCTTTGCTTATGTGTGACATTTATAATAACGATTTCACGTGACTCCAGCCACCATGGCCCAGGTCTATAAGATCTCCTCCACAAAGAAGCTGGTGCAGATGGAGAAAGAGCTTTCAGTTCAGCTCTTTTTACTTAAGACGGAGATAGAGGAGAACGGGATTCTGGGGGACACACCTTTTTACAGGTAATAGCATCACAACAAACCAATATAACACTGCGCGATTATTCATCTTGTATACCATATACTGGGTATTTCATAATTATGCTGTTAAAATAAATTCACCGTTGATTTTTTTAAGCTCTATTCCCATCCCAAAGGACATTTCCTACTTTCGCCTGGAGAGAGAACAGGTGCTGAAGAAAGGTCTACAGGTGAGAGAGAATTTTGGGTTCCGCTGCCTCTTGTTCCTTCAGCCTGCGTTATATAGGGAACAGGAACTGGGTTTTTTCAGGTCAACCTTTTGTGAGTGAACTGACTAAGTGTGAAAAAGGTTATTAGGCCCATTCGTCTGACTGCTACCAGTGAGACGCGAACCAGATCTGTTTGCCGCAGATGTGCATAACCAAAAAAAAAAAAAAAGTTTTTCTTTGCAAGAACAAGCCTAGAAAAATCTAGAAAGCTACATTTCTTGAAAAAAAAAGAGAAAAACTATCGCATCAAGGCAGCACTATAGGTGAGCCCTGAAGGTTTTCGGTTTTGTGTGAGATATTTTTGTTGCTCTGTACCACGTTTCAAAATAACCAGCATTTTCCATTAAAATATACAACACCTGTTTAGACATTAGCTCTGTCTCAGGGGGCAACATTAGCAGAGCCTGTTGACCTAGGCCTGACTTTGCCGCTCCGCTTACTCGGAATTTGGTGGTCTTCTTTGACGCAGGTGCCAGGGGCTCGGCATCTCATTTCTCAGGCGGAGGTGATACAGGGGGAGTTAGAGAGCTGCCTGAGCAGAGAATACACTCCCGAGAACCTACCATTGCTCCTACACCAGGTAGCCCACCGCAAGCGGGGAACAAGGCCGGTGGATTGGCAAGCCAATAAACCATATGACAAAGATCCCCAAAGGGAAGTAAGATAAGATCCAACCCAATAGGTCCTTTTGATGTGAATTGAATGCTGCTGATTGGAGCCAGTTGGTTGCCTCGGGTTTAATTGCAGCTACTTGATTTAGTTCTATGCAGACAGATGCTACCATCTGGCACTGTGCAAATATCTACACATGCTGAGATGGAGGAGGTTTTGCAGACATGCCAGCGTCATTGAGATGTTGTATCCCACATACAAGGTACGTCTTCACACATAGAGGATTCATCCAACATTTTGTCAAGGCAAATGAAAGAGATGACGCATAAGGATGAAAATGGGCCTTTATGCTTATGAACACAGTGAGATGTAGGTGTGTGTATGTGTGTGTGTGTAAAACTTATCAGCGTCTCTTGGTAGTTTGGATGTTCCTGAAGTGAACACACAGAGCAGGAAGCCACTACTTTGCACCAAATGTTTCTAATTTTAGAGGAGATGGTTGAAATGGGTCCCAACCAGGAAATTTAATCTTTCTTAAATTTAACTTTGTGTACCTGAAGGGCACGTGTATGTTATTGGTTCAGTTATTTATGCATCGCTTGATTGTATATTGTCACAGCTAAAATCACAGACATTGGATATAGGCTAACTGCTCGAAAGATCAATGGACAATGTTCATTCTGTGCATTGTTGGATAGAATGTAGTGTTTCTACTGCTCGTCATTGAGTACCTGTTGATGCCACATGTTGACAGAGACAACTGGCCAACTTGATGAGTGAGTATGAGGACTCAACTCAGAGGGTACAGAGACTTGCACCATCCAGGGAAAAGGTGCTCTTGGGCAAGGGCAGTTCCATCAACATGGTCACTTTGGAAGATTTGGTTATCTACTTGCAGTGGCTGGTGTGTTACCTTCACTCAGTGAAGACTGTCCACGGCTTTCTGCGGGTAAGACCGTCTAGGAAGACTGGAAGAGCTTTGGAGTATCCATGCCTTAGCAGGGCTTTTCTGTTCATCTGATTTGCACAGCATTTAATGTACTCGTGTTCAATAACCACGGCTCTGCTGACATCCTCGGAGGGAAACACAGGTTGTATGTCTTCGCTGAGGCACCTCTGACATCTACTGACCCATGTTCATACGCTGCTGGGGTTCTCTGTGCTGTAGGAACTGCAGTATCTGCCAGCAGGTGAGTGGGAACATCAGGACTCCCCGGGGAGTTGCTTGGCTGGAGGGACACCGGTTCGAAAGGATTCCGCCTCCGCTGTGCCCCAGGTGTCTGGCACACGTCCATCTCTCTCCTGTGACCGCGATGGTAAGGGCACTCCCACTAGGGGGAGCTCTCTACTCAACTCTGACAAAATGCAAATGCTTGCCAAGGATGATCTGAGACAATACCACAAGTAAACTAAAAAGCGCAGCTGAACGTTCAGGCTGACCTTGCTGAAGAACACATTTAAAATGAATTTTCCTTGTCAGGAATATACCCTCCAAATCTCCTATATGCTGCATTGTTTCTATGTGTTTTTTAACTTCAATCATATTTTAGGCTACCTTATTTTTGCAATGATTAAAAGCCACATTTTCCACATATGCGGCTGGATTTTAACTGCAGTAGGCTAGTTAAGGTCATTAACAACCTTTTAAACACGATCAGGTCCCTAAAGATTAATCGTTCATAGACTTCAATCACTTTTGCACCTTCAAACCCTCTGGTACTAATTTAAGCATGCTAATTTTCTATTTGCTAAGTTTTGCATCCCATTGTTGAGGATTAGTTGTGATTCATGCAATATCTAGTGAGCCTTATTTGTTTTCAGACGTCAAAATCCTCACAAAACCTCCTTATCAGGCGGAAGTCTGAGAAACGTTACAGTTCAGCTGAGGATAATTCCGAAAAGGAGAAGATACAATTAAGTAATATGATGTTAACTATTTATTCACAATACATTTTTTTCCCTGTTTGTTTTTTTAAGGGGTCTCAGAGCTGCCCAGATTCATGGCGAAGCTGGAGAACTTTAGTTCCCAGCTGCAAGAGCTCATCTCTCAGTTCAGCATGAAGTATAACATAGCGGATATGAGGACCAGTGCAGATGAAATAGAGTTATTTGACATGGTAAACCATAATATACATTTGTGACAGATTTCCTATCTGCACATGAAGGATATGGGCAGTTAATGATGGGAGTGTCTGTTTTCTGCCTCTTCTCATTGCTCATGGGAGTTTTGCTTACACTAAAATGTTCTGAGGGCAGAACGAAAAATGATGGGTAACAAGGCAGAACCAAGAATCTGATTGGTTGGTCCTGCTTCTTGTAGTTGCTTGGACCCACCTCCTCTACAATCTGATTGGTTATCTCTCTAAACAAAACATTTTTCATTCACCCTCAGAACATTTTTCTGGAAATAAAACAAGCCCCACAAGCCTTCCCATTGGATTTGGCAAGGTTGTGTAGCATTTTCAATGCTTAGTTAGCAAAACCCAAACTTAAAATAGAGAGACAGACATTTACTAGTTATTATTTTTAAAGATCCATACCAAATTTACCCTATTTATTAACAATGCAATGCACCCAGGGGCAGCTCGGTTTCATTAACTGGGGTAATTGTTAGCTCTGATTAGTGCATACTCAGATAACCCATTAATATAAACTTACCAAAACATAAGAGACTTGTTTTGATTTTATGTAAATCTATGTATGGCTCTTACAAGAGCACATAAAATGGCACCTTTTTTTCTGATGAATTAATGAGCGCCTAGTTGAAGCTGTTCAGCTGCATCCCTGCCGGCAATTTTTATTTTTTCTGTTTTGCACACTTTGCCCTAACATTCTTTATGTGAAGTTTATATCACTTCTATGCTAGCTGACAAATGAAGACTGAAAGCCAATAGTGCTGTCACCCTTGCCCTCCTGTGATTTCTTAATAAATACATTTGCCTTTTTTATTTATTAAAGGTGCGTAATGAATTCAAGACTGTCTTTGCGAAGCAGGAGGCAATGTGGACCTTCCTCAGGTACGGCAGCACTGAAGCATTAGAGAAGCAGTGGGGTAGGAAGGACCCCAATATGGCTCTGAAAAAAGAAGCCACCTGGATCCCCTTTATCAAGGTACGTGGTGGAAACGTATAAAACACGCTTTGCTGCTGGGGCCTGTTCCACGAAGCAGGGATTCTTGTTTAGGCGGATAACTTGTTGGATTTAAGGTAGTCTGGGCTAAATCTAAGCAAACAAAGATAAAGTCCCTTTAGCCCATACTACCTTAAATCTGGCAACTTATCCGGCTAAGCAAGAAATCCTGCTTTGTGAGATAGACCCCTGCTCTCTGCTGCTCAGGGCAGTGCTGTTGTTTGCAGTGCAGCCCTGTATTATCTTATTTCATACTGACGGGGTATCAAATATCGTTTTAGTCAGTTTTTCCTCCCTACTAGTTCCAGGTTACATTATATTTCAATAGACAAATGGACCGACATTGTTTACATGGGCACTTTTCAATGTTGTGTGATATTTTGTCTTGTGATATAAATGGGTGATATAAAACTCTACATGATTGCATTATAAACACATTCTTGCTATTGCACAGTTATTGTAAGAGAATCTGACGAAAGGAGTGTTTGTAAAGAGGAGACCTTTAGCTCTGTTAGCAGGGATTAGATTGCTGGGTCATCCGGAATCATAGTATTTGGATACATTTACGATCTCCGCTGTCTACCGAGCACAGGTTACGCCCAGACTTGATCCCTGGCAGCAAAAACTTATGACTAAACTTCGACAACAGTGCCATAAGGATGAGCTGCTGGACATGCTCAATAGGCTCTTAAAGGTAGGAACACAGTCATGTCACGTGTGAAGAAAGGGTGCGTTGCCTCCCACTCTGAGTTTAACGATGAGCAATGCGTATTGACTCCAGGTATCAGACTCCCTGGTGGTAGCAGAGACCCTAAAGGACTATGCAGTCTCTTTGTATGACCTTGCCGCACACCAGCCATCACCGGCGACTTCATGCCGCACCAGCCGAAGTTCCGCCCACATCTGGGCGATGATATACCGTGGTACACGTGCCCTTCAGGTACACAAATCTTCCTGCCCGTGACACTGGTAAAGGTACTATAACTGTAACTTAATGTTGCTTTTGGCTAGAAAACTAATTGCCAACTAGATGAAGAACTACACACATGCTTAAAAAACGTCCAGTTTCTCCATATATTGAACAACTACTGTTTCTTTGCTACTTGTTCAAATGTAAATAACAATGTATTCTTTAGCAGACAAAACGACATGTAAAAGAAGCACTTCTTTACATCTAATGGAGGTTTTAACGTAGTAATGGAAGAATCTGCCGTGAAGCCTAACCCAAGTAATAATTTAATGTGTGCTGGAGAGGGAGATGGTGCACTAAGCAGCAGGGAGAGAGCTTCCAGCTACGTACTTACAGTCCACAGATTTTTACCTCAGAACTCCAGTCTGCTTGGTGAAAAGCGTTATTGATATTTCAGCTATTAACCTGCCTTGGAGCTCCTGGTGTCAGGCGTCAAGAGGCGAACATCTCATCAGAGCATATCCAGGGCGGAGGCAGCCGTCATCCTGCCCCCACCTTTCACCCCTTTCCAAGAATAGATGGAGAGAAACCACCTGGGGAGGAAGAGAATTTGTCTATTTATTATATCAGCTGTGTGTTGAAAATGGGCTAATTTCCCCCCCGCAGGAATCGAACCAGCGGGACAGTGATTCATTCGAAAATGGTGACTGCAGGGAAAAGACGTTAGACGGTGCCAAACAATCGACCGCGTTAACGAACCCAGGGTAAAACGTAAACAATTTGATGTTATATCGAGTAAACCATTGTGTGATTAGAAGCACTTGTGCTACGTGCTTATTTCAACGCTCATCCTGCCAGAGTCTACATACTCAATGCCACCCCTACTGTTTTAGTGTGGACAGCATGCAGCTTTTGTGTCTGGATGAAGGACAGTTGAAGTGCAGGAAAGATCCAGTTTTTTCCAGGGGAGCCTTCTTATCCTTCCTCTACCTACGATATCTTAGGGTTAGGGCACTGCAGGTAAGCATTAGCAGTGAACTATTGACTGAAACATCTGTCTTTCGGTTGGTTTCCTATTGAGAAACCAACAGGTTAATCATGTTGATTGATGAGTTTTAATTATTGTACTATTGTACTTAATTTTTAAAAAAATGAAATTGTAAAGAAAGACAAATTTCAACTAATTATGTAATGGAAAATCTAAAAACTCATTGATTTCTTCATGTTACTGCTTATTCATTTAAAGGCTACGGTGATTCATGATGCAATGCTGCCCAGAATAGACCTGTTTTGCATACCTGGTTTGAGAGCATTTGTGGTTCTTCTGGGCCACGCATGTGGTTTGCTGAGTGCATCCCTCGTTCGCAGCGCTCCTGCTTGGGAATGCTGAACTACCTTCGATCCGTGGAAAGGACGCTCGCTTATGACGCAGTAGCCCTCAGAGAGGATCCTGGAAAACAGAGCAGCAATGTTGAGATGTCCAACCTCATGAGTGCCCCTACAGGTGGGAGTGGCCTTGCGGGGGCGCTGGGTTCTCATCACTACCTCTACAGCACCCCCGCGGACTACACGGTGAGTCAGATGCTAAGTTGATAGGTTGACGCACATTTTCACCCATGTTAGCTGTCAGTAGTTAACCCCAGACGCGGACTGGCCACCAGGAAGCTCAGGAATTTTCCCGGTGGGCGGGGCTTGTGAGGGGCAGTCTTTCTTCCCCAACCCTGGAATTATTTACCCTAAATACCAAGGGTGCCCAACCCGATGGTCGATCTCGGTGAATTTTCAGGTTGATCGCAGGAGATGGTTAATGGAAAATGCTTTGCGAATTTAAAAAAAATATATACCAGAGATCCCCCCCACCCCCACCCAGCTGATGGTTGGCAGCAAGATATATCAACTGCCTTGCCTTTTGTTGCCAGTCCAGGTCCTGGCTAATGCTGTACATTTGCGTGCTTTCTTCTGTCCTGTTTAATACCAGGATGTGCCAAGAAGGCTTGTCTCCATTATCTTTGATATCATGGGGTATGATGATCCCATGCATCTTGGTTTCTTATCTTCTGCATACCAGAATCCCCCAGTACCAATAACCTCCTGCAGCCATTCTGAGTTTTGTATTCTCTGATTGGTTCAATGTAATCAAAATCGGGTTTATTGGCTAAATATGCTCACACACAACGAATTTGTCTACAGTTGTCAGTGGTTCTCCAGAGTACTTACACGCCAGCTTGGCATACATACAGTAAATATATACATAGTTAAAGCAAGACAATGTCACAAACAGTACAGTTGATTTATATATTGTGCTTGTGTGTTTGATAACTGTACAAAAGGTGCAAGCGTGCATGTCGGTGCAAGGAATGTTGGAATAAATACTATGTGGTCATACAGTCAATGGGGGTCTTACAGAATATATTTTTGGATTGCACTGTTTTTATATTTTCCTGTATGGTAGAGTGGATTTTGGTAAATATTGTAAAAGTGAAGTAATAGACCCTTAAGTACACATATTTGACTCTCTTCAGGTGGTTCTTCGTCCAGTGGGACCTATGTCTCCAACAGATTGTCATGAATTCTGGTTCCAGTGGAAAACCACATAAAACCAGCTTCCTTCAGTCACATTCATTCTTGTTGGCCTTGATATTGAAGGGGGGAGGGGGTTTGGTAGAAAGTTAGCCTGCTTATTTTGAAAGTAGCAGGATAATTATGTTTACGTATGGAAATTCAAAGCTTAAATTTTATGTATCCTTCCATACAGACCATTGCTGATTTATTTTTTGGTGGGGCGAGTCTGTGGTTCCTTAAATTACAATGTTATTCAGTGTTATTTTTCAGTATTTCCTTGGAATATTTAATGGTGCAACATGGCATATATTTTGTGAAGCTCATGGCTTGAATGTAGAATTTAAATATATCGGCTTAATATACCAAGGGTTTGGCTTTTGCAGGTCCATTGCGCTGAAGTCATGGATGTTCCTGATGCAGAGAACCTGCATGACTTTTATAGCTCTGAGCAGGAGATCCTCCACACCCAGGACCATTGTGGACTGTATATTGTCTATGACGTGGCTTTGAATGATCTGAGACAACTGGAAAATACTGTGCTTCTGGTGGCCTCACACTATATCCAGAACAGAGGTGAGTACACTGCCTGGTAGACCCACGAGGTAAAACGGCAGGATTCATTTCAAATCTCATTTTAATTTTGGCAAATGTGTTTAATGAATGAAAAAATGCAGTGTCTTATTAGGTAATACTTAGCATGTAAGTACTTCTAAACGAATTTCAAAAGCTAATATTTCTATCCATATACCTCAGTTTTTTTTTTACTGGATGTTATATTATTGAGTCATTTGCAAATCCATTTAACGTTGTTTTTTTTGTGTGTGTGACGTTTCAAGCAGCAAATTCTTCAGCCCCGCAGCCGTGTGACCTTCTGTCTTGGGCCCAGGCAGATGTGGATCGGCTGGCAGTTCTGCTGGACCTGTGGAAGTGTGAAGCTGACTTTCTTAGGAGCAAGATTCGCGTAGGTGTGCCGGCTGTACGAGCAGAACGCTAATGCTCTTCCGCTATCATGGTGACCCTGTTCCCTTCGTGTCAGCAGCTTATGGACTGCTACTTTGAGGCCTACCAGCATGTGGTAGATCCAGAAGAGAGGGTCAAGCTGGCGCAGGTCATCACAGACATCATGCACAGGAGGCCGCAGATGGATCTGGATGATGGGTATTTTGTTAAGACATACAGGGCGGAGCTGGCTTGCCTACAGAGCCATCAGGAACTCATCAAAGCGGTCCTCAACTGCCAGGTACTACGGGAAATGTTCTGATGGGTGGAACAGAGCTCATTGTTTATGCTGTTAGCACAATTCTTTAACAGGAAATGCGGCAAAGAATTAGAACTAATATCGAAAAATGAGTTCTAGAAAGCAGGGTCATGATTTGAATACAGACCAAACAAGTGTTGGTCCTCTTTTAAGGATGCCAAGTCCAGATGCATTTCAATAAACAAAACAGCCCAATCTTAGTCTTGTTGTCACCTTAAAAAATCACCCAAAACTGGATTTTCCGCACTGCATACCAAGACTTCTTCTGTTTTTGCGATGTCAGATAGATGAGTGTCGTCAGTATCTTCAGCGGATATGGAGGGATGGTCAGAATGGGACGTGGCATGAGCACGGCCTGCCTCTGAACTACATCCCTAAGCAACTGGTCTCCATCAGCAGCAGCGGGTGAGAGTTAATCGCTAATCTGCATGGCCAGTGGGCATATACACGAGCACAAAGTCTTAGGACGCTTGCTGTAAAAATGTTGCAAATTTATTTGTTTCATAACAGACGTCCATTGGCATGCAGGGTTTACACATATCTACACATATCTTCCACCCAGACAGTATCTTTTTATTAAGCTTCATAATTTTTTTGACTGACTCATTCAGTCCTGTTCTTGCCATTTCGCTATTAATTGCAATTGTAGCCACTGGCTCTCAAAGGGATACTAAACACAAATGGTTTCTTTCACATGTTATATTATTGTAAATGTGTTTAAATGATGTGTTTTAATTTAAAATCACCCAGTGATGCTTGTCAGAACAGCTCTTTCAGAACTATAATTTGGATCTCAATTTATTATTACTAGTAGACAAATGAATAAAGCATATGATTTTGTTATAAAACCAATAAATTTGCAACATTTTTACAGAATAAAGCAAGCATCCGTAGCTGTCATACCTACCCTGGGGTCAAATTGACCCCAAAGGCACGTGTCAGGTGACTTCCCATAGTAACATAGTTATTGTAGGAGCGTGTAAGAGCTAGACATCCCAAGACTCTAACTGGATACTTTGCTTTAGATATAGCGATAGTCGTGTTAAGTGTTTGAGTGTGTGTGTGTTACAGCTCTGCCTTAAAGAGCATCTTCCTCTTGGAGTTTCACCCCTCCCTCTGCCTGGCGACCCACGTGTTCCAGACCCTGAGGCAGCTCTGCACAGACTTCAGCCAGTTAGACAGGACCACGAGCGTCCACGAGAAGCTGGCCCTGGAGCTGCAGGTGCTGCGGCAGGCGCTGCAGAGATGGGACGCCCGTCTCCCTGCGGGGGCCACGTATAGCCCTCAGATCCAGCGAGATGTGGGTCTGCTCTCAGTCTAAATATTTAATGAGAAATGCCATTTGATTTGTACAGATATCTACTCCTTGAGGGATATCATTAAAGTTTCATCGTCGGATAATATTAGTGGAAGAATGTACAGCTATATAAATTCAATAGAAATGACCCAGTGGGATAAGCGGGTTGGACAATGGATGGATGGATGGATGTAAAGAAAATCCAAGTTTGAATCGCACGATGGAGCAGTGGTTAGCACTGTTGCCTGACACCTATTGGACCAGAGATTGGCTCCATGTGTGTGGAGTTTGCATGTTCTTCCTGTGTTGTCATGGGGTTTCCTTTGGGTACTCTGGTTTCCTTCCACAGTCCAAGGGTATACTAAGGTGAACTGGGTTTACCAAATTGTGAATGGTGTGTGAGTCTGCCCCGTGATGGGTTGGTGCCCGATCCTGGGCTGTACTCTGTCTTGCGTCCATAGCCACCGGGATAGGCTCTGGACCCCACATGACCCTGAATAGGACAAGCGGTTACAGAAAAGGCATGGTATTAGTCATTTCTGTATGGCACTGTCTTGTCTTCCCTTGATACCCTACCCTGCAATAAAAAATATACTGCATTTCATGTTCCTTGAAGCTTGAAAAAATTACCGAATTGTACAACATCACTGTCTGGTTAATGAAGACATGTCAGTTGATATGACAGATGCGACCCTGTCTTGTCAGTTATTTTCAGATGTGTTTTTTGAGGACCCGTTCTTCGTCAGAGATGTGGGGCTGTCGGTCGTGGAGTCAGTCGGTAGAGAGGAAAAGACCGGCAAAGAGAGGCAGCTCTTCGTCGTGGAGACCTTCGGCAAACTGCTGGAGCTCGTTACCCTCAGGCATCGGCTGATCGAGTCTGCCACTGAGACCGGCAGTCTGTCGCAGTTAAGCTCTGCTGATGATCTTGTCTTCAGAGACATCTAAGTGAAATGAATGTTAAATGTATTGTCAAAGTTGCAGCCTTTGAGTAATTTTTTTTGTAGTAGATAAAATAAAACCCATAGCGAAAGGCATCCCCCTGTCAGTAACTGACTGGTTTGATCCACTTAGGGTCCGCTTTGTTCTTCCTGGGACCCCACTGCAAAACTCGCCTTGGGGCCTCCCTTCAGATGTTTCGAAAACTAAAATAAATAAATTATAAATAAATAGCTAGCGAGTAGAACCAGACGATCGTAGCTAGCTAACTGGTTATCAGAACATGCTGCTTCAGCGTATCCTAAATAAGTGTAGTGACTGGTTGTGGCCAAATCCCGGGGTCCCCTCATAAATGTGCGGATTGACTGGCAGCAGACGCAGCCGCTGGATCCACTTTCTCTCTGCCTTCTTCTGATGGTTCCTGCTCGGTTAAACCTTGGCGGTGACTGTCAACATCCCTAATCCCCCTTAGCTCCTGCCCCTGCTTTTTATTTTCCCTCCTCAACACACCTGAAACACTGTCTCGATTCCCCAAGGTTATACGAGAGGCTCGCTCTCCTAATGGGCTTCGGGAAGTTCCATCTGTACATGCGGCCCGTGCCGTTCGAGACAGCGGCCCTCAGGGAGAAGCCAGAGAAAGTGCCCGAGCCCGTAACAGCCCCCCCGCAGGATGACAGCAGTGTTGACAGGTGCAGAGTCTGCCCGCCCCCCCTCCCCAGCCTCCAGGCTTCATTATGAACGCATGCATCTGATTGGTCTAAATCCAAATACAGTTAAGCTTTAATTAAACCATGTCCATCAGAGAACATGACTAGGGATTTTCTTTGTCGCTGCCTTCAATATTCGCTGCAGTGTCCCCTGTCTTCTGCAGATTAAATTCTGTTTGACTCTCCTGCTTGTTGGATAGGAGACTGGATTTAGGAATAACAATGTATTTACAGATATATTCCATCCAGCCTGGTTCTGGCAGTCCAGGAAGTTGATGAGAATCACATTGGGAAATTCAGCTTCTACACAGAAGAAGCAGTGGTCCATGTAATCTAATACCATACACTAAACACAGTAGTGCAGTAATATTTCTATGTGTTTGTTTTATAAAACTGAAATATTATCTGTTTGGTCATGAGGAATTTCTCCTTCACTATTGCCTATAGGTATAACATTGATTGTGTTTTAAAGCAACCTTGTCCACCTTATGTGAGTGGGCCTGCCTTGTTGTTTCTCCAAGTTTCGTTTTGGCTTGGTTATCTTTCCTGTGCTTATATATAAACTGAGCATGTAGTAAGAATTCAGCCCCTCAGGGCAACCAAGAGTGTACTAACACTGCACCATCCCTCTGCTCTGGCTAACATCACCAGCTCATGAGCAGTTCGGGGATAGAGAACCTACAGGTGGCCCTGGCCTGTCAGGTGACTCAGAAGAATGCCCTGATTGGTGCGGTGAAGCTGGCCTGCCTCTGTGATTGGGTGCAAAGGACTGTGGGGGCAAAAGAGAGGGTAACCTGACTATCTTATATACCTTATTTATTCTTAGTGGACCTTGTCATGTGTGAACTTTTGAAGACATCAATGTGTTGTCTAGGAGGATACCTCCACTACGGAAGTGGAACCTTCCGGAAGGGGAGAGAACGATGTGGGCCTAGAATCCAGAAGCCAGCATAAGACCAGACGAGATTTAGGTACCATGCAGAGGTGAGCTATGATTGATGTTATGTACATGAACGAGAAACACCATCCGTACTGGGTTTCTTATAGGGGATGTTTGTAGAAGGATGGGTGTACAGCGAGACATGTACCTTGTAATCTTATACTTTCTATTTCCAGACTTGCTGAATCATTTGTATCAATCCAGTTAGAGAAAACAGTCCTCCGAGACAAGATGCTCGATGTCTTTCTGAGGAATAAGGAGGTCATGGGATCTGTTACGAGAAACCTTGTGAGTTCCTCCATGCAGCCATGTTCCATTGCTCTGGTTCTCGGCCTGCCTCCACCACCGTCACTGAACTGATCTCTCCTGCTGCAGGATGAAGTGACCAAGCTCAAAAGGAGACTAATTCTGGAATTCTGTCAGAGGTGTGTCTGGACGTTCCTCAATGACCCACAAAAAAAAAACACAATTATCTCAGAAAGGAGACATACCTGTGTTCCAGGAGGAAAAATTGTCTGAAATCCAGACATTTATGGTTATATTTGCTTACATTGCAGTTTTAAAATTTACAAGCACTAGCGCTGGAAGAGCTGAACAGCGCCGAACGAGTGCCGCTGAAATATTTTGCTATGAAGTTTTTGTTAGTCATTAAATATGGCCTTGAAGTTGTATTACTTTTAGCTGACACTTAAAATTTCCATCTCAGCTTGGAGTTTTAAGGTTACTTGCTTTAAAAGCTTTTGGGTCACAGATTTCAATCCTGCCGTCTCCTGCAAAGTTAATCTGCTGCTTTTCTTTGAGACTGTAAGCCTAACAGGGAATGATGTGCACACCTAGGTTCGGTATGCGGATTAAGTCTAACAGGGAGCGATGTGCACACCTAGGTTCAGTATGCGGATTAATCCTAACAGGGAGTGATGTGCACACCTAGGTCCGGTATGCGGATTAAGCCTAACAGGGAGCGATGTGCACAACTAGGTTCGGTATGTGGATTAACCCTAACAGGGAGCGATGTGCACACCCAGGTTCGGTATGCTGATTAAGCCTAACGGAGAGATGTGCACACCTAGGTTCGGTATGCGGATTAAGCCTAACAGGGAGCGATGTGCACACCNCGGTATGCGGATTAAGCCTAACAGGGAGCGATGTGCACACCTAGGTTCGGTATGCGGATTAAGCCTAACAGGGAGCGATGTGCACACCTAGGTTCAGTATGCGGATGTCTCAGAGCTGCGTGAGGGGACAGATTGTGGGCCTCTACCACAGCCTGAACGCAATACTCATCGACCTTCCCACCATCCGTCAGACTTACTTTACTGTGGGACGAGCCAATGAGGTGAAGAGCGACCGGGATTCAGAGCATGGGGTTCAGTCTGATGTCAGGTGGGTGCCTTGGGGTATGTTCCAGATGTCTGTGGTATATTAAACTGCAGTACATATGTGCTGCCCTACTGTGTGGTACCCAGAATGAGGATGCTGCAGGCTGAGAAACGTTAGGATGATGGAATTCATAGCAATGAACCCCCTTTGTTTGGACAATTTTTTTCTGGACCCAAACTCAGACGTGTATTCTCTGAAGACGGAAAGAAACTTCTCAACTTGTGGTACATCCCCGACTTCTCCGAGGTCTTGACTATGTTTAAATCCATGGATGATGTGGTAAGAGTTAAAATATTTATACTGGTTTGTCCTTGGGACCATGCAGGTGACTTATTACAGTAAAAAACAGACCAGAGTTTAAGCAGTGGCCAGTGATTGGTAACCCATCCATACACGGACTGGGTCCGTGGCAAAATGTTCAAATTGATATAACGTAGGTTATGTTTTTAATACCGTGTTTGCATTTTGATAAAAATGTCCGTCAGAATTCATTGTGATGATGAGCCCTAGTTGTGTCAAATGTATGCATGAGAATGTACGCTTTTGTATTTGCAGTACAATATTTAAAAGTATTATCGAAAAAAAAATTTTGGCAGATTTTTTTTTTGTTTTGCTTGCAGGTTTTGAGTTTTTGTTTGTAGCTAGCGATGAAAAAACGTCTTATACGTGGGGTGATAAAATGCTAAGGGTTAGCGATCGCGCTCCATTAGCATACACTGCGAGCCACCGATTTGTTTCTCAGCTTGCTGCCAAGGCTCTCCAACTCAACCTGGACATGGTGTCAGCGCTTCATGACATTGTCTCCTACCTGGTTGGCTTTGCGCACCTGGGGAATCTCTCCGTGGGGGTCTCCGGCGGGAGGAGACATGCACCGCTTGCTGCCGACTGGGGGGGTACCGAGGGCATCGGTGAGCATCTGCGCCGACAACATGCTCAAACACAAACCGGGGGGGCATTTCTATGTCCTAAAAGGAGGTGCTTAAATGATTATTCATTTTTATTCAACAAAAATCCATAATGAGCGAATTAGCAGGTTTGTTTGCGTGATTAGTTTGGTGCAGCTTAATCAGTACAGTATATTTAATGAAGAGCTCAGTGGCAACAGAAATGGACTCAGGCAGTAGGCAGTGAGGCCCAGGTTTCAGAACAAAGGCAGGCCTAGTCGACATCACGGCGCGGTGGGTGTCCTGTACGACCTTGGTGCCGTACAGACCCCCCTCCCCCAGCCCCGGGACATTTCTCTAACCGCTCCTCCGTGATGTTTTTAAGGGGCGGAGCTGGCTGACCTCCAGGGGCGGATCGCCGCGCTCCCTGACCCCCGCTGCCCGCAGGCCATAGCCCGGCTGCTCCGCCTCCGTCGCGAGCTCCTCTTCCTGCAGTTCGACGTGGCTGTTCGCCACTGCATCAGGCAAGTAGGCGGACAGACAAAGCCTCTGTGAACGATTGAAAGGCCAAAACGTAGCTAAAAGGTTCAGTCTGTATGGCAGTCTTCCATAAATAGTATCCATAAATAATGACCAAACGCTATTTGAATCCCTAGGATGGACTGCAGCCCCACCATAAAATAATGTTTCTAAAACCATTTAGCAATGCTCTATTTTTGGGGTATAGTGTCCCCTATTTCTTCAGTAGGCTGAGTCCCCCTAAGGGTCAAATCCTAGAATCACCCCTGTCCAAATCCATCTAGTGATTTATTATTTATCTAATTTAAAAGGTATAACAAAGGTCCTTGATTTCCTGTATGGGAGTGTAATGTTGTCTGGGAGGGGAAGCCTGAGACCAGGATTGAGAACCAGTTCTCCTCATTGTGTTTATTTTTATACAGGGTTTTTCTAGCACAAAAGCAGCTATATTATATGTCATTGTATCTCCTTTTGCTAAATAAGGGAGGCTCTCCTGTCCTCTGGCGACTGTGCGGACTGTCAGACAGTCACAGACAACATGGGCCACGCCCTTTCCGCGTTGAGCGACAGTGTGAGTGCCAGTGCGCGCGACTCGCAGCTGCGTGTGCCCCGGGCACTGGAGCCGCACTGCATGCAGGTCAGTATCTTACAGGCCCTCCGCTGTTTGAATGTAGTACTGCATCAGTAGTTCATGGTAATACATGGAAAAGCCTATAGCCATCACAGTAACTTTGGATGTGCATAGCTGGTAAATTAAGTTGGGGGCAGTGTGTGACTCAGTGCTGTTTTTGTGATCAGAAGTGTGCTGGTTCAAATCCTAGAGTTAGCAGAGTGATTTAACCTTGGGGCACCTGAGTAAGGCCCTTAACCCCTAACTGCTTCAGGAACAGTCTGACCCTGATTTATCAAAAAAAAAGAAAAGAATGTTGCTTTGAATAAATGTACCTGCTAAATAAATAAAATGTGAGGTGTGATGGTTAATTGTACTGTACACTATATAAAAGGAGACAGAACTCAGTATATACAGTATATACATTGTCGGGCGACGTGAGGGAGGGCAGGGTTTCCTTTCTGTGAAAAGGATCCAATCAGAATTTGGGAAACCTGGAGACATCGTTTTTGTGACTTCAGCATGCAGTTTAAGTTGCTGAAACGGCATCTCCGGTTTCTTGGGCCTAATCTCTAAATCTGCCAGCTTTTGGTCCGAGCGTGAAGGAGCTGACAGACGTGCTGGATTTTGTGCTCTCCGCCGCACAGGCTGAAAGACTGTACCCCTGGAGGGGCGTTATTGGACGACACGGCCTGTTCCCAGTGACCATCTGTGACATCAGTCCCATTGAGCAGTGCATGCAGGTATTCCGACCCCGGTCCCCTGATGGCAGGCTCTGGCAGCTTATCTGTAGCCTCAAGCCATTTTTTAGAATTATATTCCTCCTTCCCCCCCAAGAATACACATGATCATTTTCAGGATAGTACACTCTTGATTAAAACGCACGTAACACGGGTGCTATAAATAACGCAGCCTCTACACTTTAAATGAATAGTACTATATTGTCTAAGACTTACTCATTTTCACTGTGCTGTTGGACCTCTTATGTAAAGTAAGTGTTTTTTTTTTTTTAAATAGCATGAGCTGATAACCAGTAATACCGGTTAGGCAGTCTGTCAAGCTCAGCATAAACTGGCAGATTTATAAGCAATCTTACATCAACGTAACAGTACAAACATGAGCAAATTTAGCAAATTTAAAGTTCTGCTTAAAAAAAGCACCTTACAAATGAATTGTGTTCACATACAGCTTTGCCCTAATGTTTTTTGTTGTGATATAATATTTCCATTCCCTGCTGATCATTAACAGCTCTGTCCAGCACTTACTAATAGTGCAAGGCTATATAACAGGGAGTGTAGCTTTTCTGCATTTTCTCCAGCGAGAGAGCTCCTACTCTCATAAATTTTTGAGGAGACATTACTGGTGCTTTATCAGCAGGTCTCCTCTCGCTGCTGATCCGTTCGTGGAAGCTTAATATCGGTTCGAGCCCTGGTGACCAATAAAATTTCTCGATCTTGATAAGTGAGTCAGCGAGACGCGGTCCCGTTGTGACCCTGCTGGTGTTTATGGCCGCTCTTGTGTGCCGGCCTCGGTGCCTTTTGTATTCCCTCGTTTCGCTCACAGCTGTGTCTGAGCGGTCTGAGCGACCGCGGCCGGATGGCCGCCAATGGCGAGATGCTTGCCGTGTCCCTTCTGCTGGAGGACGTCCTAAGCAGCGGGCAAGCGGTCGCCCCCTTTTGTGTGGAAAGCGGCTCGGAGGATCGTCCCCATAGTGAGGGGGGGGGGGGGGGGGGGGGGTGCTTTCGTCTAACCAATAATAATATGAGAAAACATTCCACTGTTTTCATCTTTATACATCACCTTTAAAGTATTCCCTTTGCATTTTTTTTATGATTTGGTTACGCTTCTCACATTAAAAATGTGTTAAATGTCAGCAAATAAAACTGCACTGTTAGTTTTGCAGTCTGCGGTGTTTAGTATATTATTCCAGGCAGTGTTTCCTAACATTGCAAACTGTAATTAAATTTAATAATTCAATTAAACGTGTTCTGCAGTGTTAGTTATCTGTCACCTAGTAAAGGATAATGACAACAATGAAAGTTCAGCAGAACCTTGGCATTTCCATACTGTTATGCTTTTCCAATTACCCACCATTACACGCACGTTACAGGAAACCCAGGGCCGCACTGACCAGGAGGATGACATGGGAACGGGGTCCGTGGGCATCTCCTCGGGCCCCTGGTGGGACCCTCTGCATGATTACACGACGAGGAAGGCCTTCCTAGTGCTTTGGAAGCAGCTGGAGGGCTTCAAAGAGGCCTGGGGTCGGCGCCAGCTGAGCGTGGAGCGAATCAACACCACCAGCTTGTACAGGAAATACTCCAGCCTCTATAGGTCAGATGTTATAGCTCAGTGTTTGTGTTCGCCTGTCATACACTGTTAGAAATCCTTGGCTAAACATCTCCAAATAATGTCATATAAAATCAACAGACATGTTGGGGATGGGTTAGGAGGCTCTGTGATCAGAAGGTCTCCCAGGGACAGAGTGATGTCACCAGCGAGTCCCTGAGCAAGACCCTTAGCCCTGTTATATGTTGCTTTGGATAAAGGCGTCTGTTAAATAAATGAGAAAATACATATATTTATGTACAATATGTAGTTACTGCTTAAAGTGGCACATTCATCACATGGTATCGGGAAGGTTGGGAAATTTCTCTGTGAGCACGTTGGTGGCAAAATATTACAAGGGGGACTCCCCCCCCCCCCTCCCATCAGCATCAAAATGCAACAAGGTTCCCATCCTGCTGCTCACTTGTTGACAATATATATCATGCTTACCTTAATATTGTAAAGTAAATTTAGGATGGTACTCCCACGTAGGAGATCTTTGTAAGTCTCCTGTCCTGCTCTTACACGTTTATTTGGCTTCTCCTCCTGACTTTCCCTGACAGTAACAACCACAAAGTAGACTTCACACTACTTTGCCAGACCTCCAGCAAACACGTTCTGTTAATTGTTCTCGTCCCGCAGAGAGGAAATTCTGTACCCCAGCATGAGGACCCTGGTCCGGCAGCTGGGCAGCGAGGAGGAGTATGGGAGCGTGTGGGCGGAGGGCCAGCCTGTCCCGCTCCCCACCGGAGCCTCCGAGGTGGACATCAAAACGCAGCAGGTAAAGCGATGGGGAAAAGTCACTTTCCTGAGCAGTTTGCCAAACCCTATTTTGGGTGACAGAACAAAACATTTGTAGATGGTTTGAAATGTACAAAGATGACATAATCTAATCTGAGTCGGAGTCGGCACAGTGGGTTAGGACTCTGTGTTCTGATCAAATGTTTGCTGTTCAAATTCCATGTCTGGAGAAGTGATGCCACTATTGGGTCCTAAATCAAGGCCCATAACCCCCAGTTGCTTCAGGAACACTGGCTGACCCAGCACTCTGAGCCTTAGTTGGAGAAAAGTGTTCATTAAATTAAAATAAGTCTATTCCTGTAGTTTGGAAAGAAGCAGCATCAGACTGCAATGTATACAAGGGTGGTGTCCCAGCTGAAAGCTGATTGGCCCCCAGAGCACCCCTTCCCCTGTCAGTCAATGATTCAAAACATATCATTGGTTAATGATAAGATTGGCTCCCTTATGGTAAAACTTATTTACCATGATACCTTAAAAAGATAATATTGATGTAGGTTTAAACATCACAGTGATGTGATCAGAGTCACTGTGCTCTTCAGGCACTTACTGCTTTGTGTTTATGGATCTTTGTGAATTCACTGTGGTGTAATCCCTGTGTTACGATGGAAGCTGTGCTTTCATTGATTTCGACCGCTCAGCTTGGCAGGTTGCTGGAGTGTATGGAGTGCGACCTGATTGCTGCAGCACAGAGCAGAATCCGCAGGGAGCTGAACCTGGTCATCTCCGAGCGAGGGCACCTCAGCGGGGGGCTTCCTACTGGTACTCAAACACACATAAAGACCTTTTTCCTGGCTGTGTAGATGTGGGCCTCGGCTCTCTTGGGGGGGCATTTTGCATTTTCTCTTTGTTTGCGTGGATTTCCTAAAGGAAACACTACCTTTGGGTCCTCTTGCATCTTCTCAGATCAATTCTTTTTCTTTTGTTTACTGCATTTATGCCCCCCAGTTCCAGTCACTTTATTTATTGTTCATTGCTACTTTTTGCTGTAGCGTTCAATCGTTTATCTTCTATTTCCTCGGGTTGTTTTTTTGTACCTTAAAATATCCCCTGTATGCATCACTGCATCACTGCATCACTGCACTTAGTTCTGTATTTTACCTGCATATATTGTCCCTGTAGTCTTATGCTTAACCCCTTGGTGTGCAGTGTCCTCCTATTTGGCCTTAAGGTCACGAACCCCCATTAACCTCTGTCTGTATCTTGCATTATGGACCTGGGAGCTTGTTATCACCTGCCACTGAACTCCTCTGTTATGGCAATAAAGCCCCACTTGACTTGAGATTATTTTCACATTGAACAGACCATGACGCCACAGTGATTAGCACTGTTGTCTCACACTCCTGGTACCAGGGTTTGAGTCCCCGCCATGGCTCCACGTGTGTGGAGTTTGTATGTTCTCCCTGTATCGTTGTGGGTTTCCCCCCCGCAGTCCAAAAAACATGCTGAGGCTAATTGGCCGTAGGTGTGCATGTGTGAGTGAATGGTGCGTGAGTGTGCCATGCGATGGGTTGGCGACCCATCCTGGGTTGTTCCCCGCCTTTGCTCATAGGGTCAGGACCCCTCTTGACCCCGAATAGGATAAGCGGTTGTGAACACGCGTCCACAAGTGAGTTTTACATTTAAAAAAAAAAAAAAAACATAAAATTATAGCCTGCTTGTTTTAAAAACACGTGCTTGCCAACCATGGTCCACCCATGCCCTATTAATTTCCGCCCATACCTGTACCCGTACCGCAAAGTTAATTTTAGGATATTTTTCACCCGGTTCCATTGAAAGTTGTGGGTTACCTGTCAGGTACCCATTGGGTACCCAAACCCATGCAGGACTCCAGTCTACATGTAGAATTAAGGTGCTTCAGTACTACATACAAGGGTTCTTGTACATAACTGAGTTTTGAGTAAACTGTAGCACAAATGCCTTTTCTAAGCCAGCTGTCTGTCTGGTTTTCTTCTAACTAGATTTATGGAAAAGACCTTCTGTGAAGCAGTGTTTCTCTCCTGAACGGCCACAGATAGTGGAAAACTTCATGCAGCAGCTCATGGACGGCTGTGAGGAGACTGAGGGGAAGGTAAATCTTCTTGGACCATGTAATGTGCCTACAGAGTTAGGTGAAGGTATTCCTTAGTGGTTCCCAGATCAAAAATGCACACAGACCAGATAATATGTTCTTCAGTTCACGCTTGCCAAGACCCATCTACAAGAGTGCCTCACGGCTTTGGGGTGTGCCGTCATGGGACGGGAACGCAGTAATTTCCAGGCCTACTCTCTGTTCTATGAAAACCTGCTGCAGCACGTGACCCAGACGCTGTTCCAGAGAGAACAGGTACAAACCCGTGGGTCTGGTGAGGAGAGGCATTAAGGCTACCCTAATATGCCATTAGATATTTGGACATTATTATTGCTAACAATATGATTACACAATGATGATTATGATGATAATCTTTCCACTAAAACATTTTCATTGAATTTAATTGAAACAACTCAATAACTATTGATGGTCTTTGAGGGATCTTTAACTGTGGCCCTTGGTTGCCCATATTTACCATAATTATGATAATTCCAGGATTTGAAAGTATCTGAGGATCTGCAGAAACATCAGAAGACCTCTGAGCAGGTGTGGTTCATAATGACTAAGTTTCATGGATGATTCCCGCAAAGCTAATACTTTAATTGTAATCCACATCCACACAAGCACAGTGGGGAGGAATCCAGGCCTTACTTACAGCTTAAGGTGTCTATTGTACGTCATCTTGCAGGGCCTCCCTTTGTCCCGGTTTGCTGAGCTCACACGCAGCACAATGCTGGAGATGACAGCGCTGCGAGCACGGCTGGCCAGGGCGGAGCAAGACAGCGGGGGGCTGCAGGAGCAACTAGACTCCCAGCACCGCCGCTACGACACACTTGTCCAACATCTCATCTCCTGCTGCTGTCAATTAAAGGTGAGGAAGCCCATCCTGTCTGTCTGTCTCCTAATGTCAACTTAATTAGCTTGTCTAAAGTCTTACTTGGTCACGGTGTGTGAGGGAGGGTAAATTGTATGAACAATGCTCAATGTTTGACAAAAGATTGTTCAAGAGTAAATTTATGGTCAAGCATTACAAAAGCTGGTTGATCGTTAAGCTGAAATCCTCAAACTGGGTGACTAGTGGATTGACTTGAGGTCAACTAACCTTTGTTGCTTCTGATGAACAGTCAAGGTTGGATGAGTGTCACGTGAGGACGGAACGAGATGTGACTCAGCTGGTCACCAGAGTTCGGAGAGAAGGTGTGGAGAGCATCAACAAGCTGAAGAGGAGGCCAGGCGCCACAGAAGATCATGAGGCTCTGCAGACTGCTTTGAAAGTGGTAAGGAGCTTGGCCCATCTAGCAAACCTTCAAATACGATCATTTCAGAGCTCCACATCGTGATGGACCAACAGATAGCACGGCACTTAGAACCACGGTCGAAAGATAGCTGGCTCAATTCTCAAGGGAGACTGGAGAATAATTGTGTGCCACTTCAATGGGTCGGACATTAGTCATCTGCACCTAAACATCAACGTTAATAATCAGCGTGATCGACACCTGTTCCCCGGACAGCATGAAGAGCAGCAGGACACGTGGGAAGAACATGGCCACCTGGCAGGCCTGCTCTGCAAGCTGAAGGCCCTGCACCGGTGGAGACAGATGGCCATCCAGGGAAAATTGCAGCGGCAGTTACACCAGTACCAGCAGGTCAGTGGGATGGAGGGAATGGAGTCTGTCAGTGGTCTGTGCTGATCTACCATCCCCAAGTGTAAGGCTCTGCGGGCCTGTATTAAGCAAACTACTTACTATAAGTTTAATGGACAAATGCTTTGCAATGCTTATTAAATGTTGGTGCATTGCACAGATAGTAGGCATATCACAGGCTGTGTGCTGTGCTTTCATTGCACTGTGTGGTGCTCGAACATTTTCTAAAAACAGTGAATACAAAATTGTACCGTAGTAAAACGGCACTGCAGTGCAGGTGGCTGCTGCTGATTTAGGGCCCCGTGTGGTTCTGGCCCACCTCCCTGTGCAGGAGGCACTGCTGTATCAGCGGGAGGGCCTGCAGGTGAAGATGGTGGCCGGAGAGGAAGTGGCGCTGCTCAAACAGGAAGTGGAGGCCGTAAGGGCAGCCCTGGAACAGGATCGCGAGGCGCACAGCGACGGCACTGAGCAGCTGCTCTCTCTGGTGATCGCAGCATGGATACACTGTAGTTTGGCCTTTGAGTAGTAACCTTTCAGCTTGAGTGATGAAGACAATGTTTAGGGCACTCACCTTAAATGACCTGAGCACGAAATCTTGACAGAGACAGATAAAGTCGACCCTGGTTAGCACAGACTTCAAAATATATGAAAGGACAAATTTATTTGTTGTCAGAGCAGTTTAGATCAGAACAAGGAGAACATTTCTTTACAGGGAGATCAGTAGGCTTCAGGATGAAGAAGGCCATAGAGTTGACAGTAGAGTAAGCAGTAGATCATATAACAGCCCCAAGACACATCTAAACAAGCAAGATTAACTCAATAGCTGCATTATTTATATTTTATTTACATTGATTTTAATCTATAATGGCATACATAGCTATTGTGTATTAGCAAAGTTTAGAAAAGATGTTGAGCATCTGAGATAAACAAACCCACATTGACAGCATTTACAGATGCTAGTTTGGCACGACTCGCGTGTCAGCAGGAGTGGCCCTTACAGATTACTGTACCCACGTCACTCACCGTCTGCGCAGAGGCAGCGACTGCAGGCCGCAGAGCAACAGCTGGCCCTGCAGGCAGTGGGCCGGCAGCGCCTGGAGGGGGCACGTGTGCTGAGCCTGGAGCGGCTGCGGCGAGTCGTGGGCGACAAGCAGCAACAGCTGGAAGAGCTGGACGCACAGCTGCAGAGGAGCAGCCGGGCCAACCAGTTGCAGCAGCTGCACAGCCAGAAGGAGATCAAACAGGTGGGGGCCACCAGATGGGGAGCTGAGATGTTATTGCCAAGCAGTCATGCAAAGCGCGAGCTGAACATGTGGAATTCGGTCAGGAGCTGTGGAGGGGTCATTTTCAACCATTAATCAAAGAAGGTATAAGTGCATTGACGCTACCTTCCATATCACCATAGTACCCCCACCCTATCTACCCAAGAAACCGGCTCTTCTTCTGGTATATATGAATCGCAGCTCTTAAAATTAACATGCCAGGCAGGATGAGAGCCAATACTATTCATATAGACAGGACTCTGCTAGGCCTTTAAGATCCCGGAGTTTTAGCTCAACCCAGACCGCGTGCGGGTGATTCAGCAGAGGCCGCTCTCCGCAAACACCCCTCGCTCCCCCTGATTCTTAAGGTCAGGGCCCAGCTGCTGCAGGAGCGACGGCTGAAACTCGACGCCTTCCGCCGGGTGCAGGGGCTCCGGAACCAGCTCTCCGACACCCAGGCAGAGGTGCACAGAGGCGGCCCCTATTCAGGTACCAAAACACAGCCAGCAGTGGGCGCTGGAGACCTGCGCTAAATCTGACATTAGCATGAATCGTTTTCTTCCGTTGAGGGGAACGTGACGCAGTGACTGTCCCCCGTGTGCATTTTTTTACCTGTAGTCGCAAAAGTTTAACATTCTTCCTGTCTTTCTAAAGGACAGAATAGGACCCCTTTCTCCAGAACGACTCCCAGCACCCAGTCAACTTCAGCAGGTCAGTATCCCCCACCCACCCACCCAGTGACTAGGTGCCTCCGTTACCTGGCAACGGCCAACACTGACCGCGTGGCCTGACGACCACCCGTTTTAGGGTCGGTGGAGCACCTCGTACCAGCCACCCGCCCTTCATCTCACTCCGTCCGGTGTGGCGCCCAGGGCCGGGCCGACGCAGACCCCGGATCAGACAACCTCGGTGTCCTTCTGCAGAGACCTAAAACTGTGAGCTTTTACTGAGCAGTGGAGGAAACTCACACCTTATTGCCCTCTATCTATAAGGAAAACTCAGAATGTTTTATGTGTCATGTTTTAGTGTCAGACGCTGTTTGACTGTGTGTGTTTGTTCCAAAAAGCTAAAAATGATTTCAAAACCACCCCCAGGGTCCCAGTCGCTTACGGACACAGCCCCCAGCGGACCCATCCCCCACGCTCCACCGCACTGGCTCCTCCAAACTCCTCTCTCAGCTCAGGCTAAATAAGGGCTGTGGGAACAGATGGTGAGACCCGATCTGTTCCCAATGCCCACAACACGAGCTGCGTGTGGAAAAAGCAAACACCTTCCGCACGGCAACAGAGCCCCATCGATCCTCGGCTCAAACTCAGCACAGTCAATGTTCAGCTGTATGTTACAGCCACTTCTAAAATGCCTGACTGTCACCTGCAGATCACAGCAATCTCATTAAAACCATCTATTGAAGATTGTCTCTATTTCATGTAAACACAAAAGTAGATCCAACGGAGGAATGCTCAGAATTTCTGGTATATAAATCTTAAGAAAAACGCATCCTCAGATTAACTGGGACAAGCACACCATCATAAATAAATCAAACGGTACAGAGTTTAGTTCATCTTTTATCTGATTTACAGACATCAAAAATGTACAGGTCAACTTCCACAAAGACTCCAAAGCATCTCCATCTTGCTTAGATGAGGGGCAGGAGATGCTCGCCCACAGAGGGCACGGTGTCCATCAGGGGCACCAGGTGAACTCACATCCACGACTAAAAGCTTTGCTAAAATGAGTGACGGCTGAGGTAGAGAGAAAATGACACATCTGCAGGCCACTAATGGATGGGCTTCCTCACCAGCCTTAGACATGCTTAGTCAATTTGCTTTATATATTTTTTTAATTGAATACTACTCTGTTCAAATGGGGGTTGTTATCAAGAAGTACAAATCTCTACAAAAATACATTGAAAAGGTCTTCATAGAAACAAGGACTCATTTTGCGAAGGGCGACAGCTCAGGTATTTTGGTGAGTCACTAGAGAGCACCGAAGAGCTTCTTTCAGTTCTGCGGCGCCAGGCTGGTGGTGTAGAGGTAGGACACAGTACCTGCCTGTATCTGGAACGTCTGCCCCTGGATCTGGTGACTGGGGATCTGCTCCGTGGTCTGGCTGATGGAGATGGGCTGGGTGCTCTGGCCGCTGATGTGGATGGCCTGAGCCTGCTGCTCCCGGTCGATGGCCACCGACTGGGCCAGGGCCTCGCGGGCCACGGGCAGCTGCGGGAGGGGCTGCTGCTGCATCACGTGCAGGTGCTGCACAGCCCGCGGCGCCACGGGCAGGGGCTGGGGCGGCCCGTGATGAGCCTGCAGGTGCTCCATGGCCTCCCGGGTCAGGGTGATGACCTGCATCTGCTCGGGCTGGCCCTCCAGAACTCCGATGGCCTGGATCTGCTGGGCCGGCTCCCCGGAAGCGACCAGAGCCAGGTTCGGCACCTGCTGAGGGGGCTGCCCCAGCAGGGCCCCCATGCCCTCAGAGGCCTCGCTCGTGATGATGCTGATGTCCTGCTCCTGCCCGGACACGAAGTTGATGTTGTCCACCTCGCTGGTGACCACCAGCTGGATCTCCTGCTCCCCCGAGGCCGGCAGCTGATACTGCTGGAGCTGCAGGATGCTACGGACCTCCTCGGCTCCGGCACTGACCACCTCCGTGGCCGCGGGTTCGGGGGCCTCTACCGGCTTCTCCTTGTTGTGGGTCTTGGTGTGAACCTTGAGGTTGTCCAAGCGGGCGTAAGACAGGCTGCAGAAAGGGCATGTGAAGGGCTTCTTTCCCGTGTGGGAAGCCACGTGACGCCTTCTTGCACTAGGATCTGAGAAAGACTTATTACAGATGCTGCACACATAAGGCTTTTCCCCCCTGTGGAGAGAGAGAGCACAAGCGAAGAGGTTCGCAAGTTAAATATACTCCTCCTTCATTAAGCGAATGATTAATTGCAGCTTCCATCGTAAAAGTCCATAATTTAAATAAAGGGGGTCCTCGGGTTACGACACAGTTCCGTTCCTACGACAGTGACGTAACCCGAACTTTGCTGTAAGTCGAAACACACCTTTTCTGATCTCTTTACAGTGTCTAATTTCACTTCCATCGGGATGGCTTTCCTCAGTCATACGCCGCGTTACTGTGTGTTCTTTTGCCGCGTGCAACCAAACTAGTTCGCCCACATAGTCCGTAAGCACGGCGCTTAACGGCGTAAGCTGAAACACTTACATCTCAATTTTTAAAAGTTTTTATGGGAGTGAGCGTCGTAAACTCGAAACGTCGTAGCCTGAGGACCCCCTGTACGTCACATGACATTGTTTCGGGAAGCTGGACGGAGGTTAACTTCTGTTCAAGGACCACTCACCTGTGGATCCTGATGTGGGTCTGCAAGGAACTCTTGGCTGTGAAGCACTTCCCACAAATCTCACAGGTGAAAGGCTTCTCCCCTGACAAAAAACAAGATCACAGGACGACACTGAGCTCAAGGAACCAGAAACACAAAGCACTGCTTCCAAAGACTAAACATAAATCACTGTTTTGCCCGCATAAAAAGAAGCCAGTTTTTACTGTATTTCCGCAGCACTGAACAGGCACATCGTACCAGTGTGTGTCCTCAAATGTTTCTTAAGTTGAGCCGCATCCATGAATTTATGATGGCAGTGCACACACTCTGGTAAAGGTTTACCTGCAAAACCAAAACAAAAGAGTTTACATCACACAAGACATCACCTGCCATCTCCATGACAACGCAGATGTGAAGTCTGATGGGCCCCGACCTGTGTGCACCCTGTAGTGGCTCTTCAGCTGCCTCCTCTGACTGTACGTCTTCCCACACTGATCGCAGCTGAATGATTTCTGCTCTGCAAAATCACAGAGCATTCAGTCACATGGGGGTCACAGGGCATTGCATGGCCTCAACACACCAAACAGGCCGTTTCTTACTTTAACTAAAACTTCTGCTGAAGACCGAAAAACATTCCGTTCATTGCATACGGCATCCTTCAACTTCATATGCTGAGACCCATAGCAATCTTTTAACCAGACAGATTCTTCTGGAAGCAAGCCAAATGAAGCATACGGCACCTGTGTGCAGGTTCATGTGCTCCAGCAAGGAGTGTTTGGTGGATAGGGCCTTGGAGCAGACGGTGCAGATGAAGGGCTTCTCCCCCGTGTGCATGCGCTGATGGACCAGCAGCGTGTGCTTCTGTGTGAATCCCTTTGAGCACACAAAACATCGGAAGGGCTTTTCGCCTGCATTTTCAGAACAAATACTGGGTCAAGACACTGTTACGTCTATCACAAGTAAAGTGGTGCACTGTAGGAGAGACACATCTGGTTTGCAATAACCGGGCTGCACAAACAAAAGCAAACACTCGGGCCCTTTATGAGAGAAGAAGCTTACCTGTGTGAGTCCTTTGATGTATCTTTAAAAAGAGGTGGTTCTTGAAGACCTTCCCACAGTCCTCGCAGCGGGCCTCTGTGTTGGGGTATTTCCGCCTTCTCCCTCTTCTTCCGGGCTCTCCAGACTCTGATGAGTCGTCCCCAACGCGATACCCTCTTAACTTGGTTGGTGGCTTAATTTTGCGTTTACTGTATCGGCTGCGTCCCGCTCTGGGGTCGTAGTCGGCATCTGTGTCTTGAGGAAACTCCATGCTGGCTTCCCGCTCCGCCACGTCTCCCTCGGCCTTCGCCTCGCCATTGTCCTTAGAGCCGAGAGCAGCCGGATCACTCCTGTCGCCCTTTGGACTGGCTTGTGCTCCGATGTTTAACTCAGGTGCTAGTGCCCCTGGCATCTCCGGAACGGTCACATTTTTTCTTGGCCGACCCCTCTTGCGTTTGGGCTTTTCTAAGCCCGCTCCGGGGTCACCGGTAGGCTTCGCAGAATCACAGGCTGGGACGGTGCTCTGAGAATCAGCATACGCCTTCACCAGGTCACTGACCTCGAGGAGCCGGGCCACAGCCAGGAGCTGCTCGGTCGCGTTCTCCTCCACAGACACACTGGCGCTGTAAATGAACTCCAGCACGGTGCCGAAGATCTGCGCGGCCATGCCATCCAATTTGTATATGGACTGGCCGACGTGGCCCTCGGCGGTGAACATCAGGGAGAAATATTCACTGCTTGCAGCCAACAGAGCCTTGTGGGCCTTAAAGTGGACATCTTCCACGATCAGCGTTATGTCACAAAGCAGCTCCTTCTTCCTCAGCTTATCGAATTTGTTCAAGATGGTGTCCTTGTGTGTTTTGGAGTGGATGGCCAAATGCGATGTGGAGGGGACGGCCATCCTGCCATGCGAAGATGGGGGATTCTTAAATATGTATAATCACCTACAAATACAGATTAGGTCAATCACAATGATGGGAAGAAAAAAAATACCACTGAACCAAATTACCCATGTGGTTTTGAGACCATGTATAAAGTTGTAACTAAACACACAGCTTTGTGTTAGACAACTTAAAAACATAAAGCCAAGTAAATTCATCACACTAAGAGAATGAGGAAATTTTTATGGAACATCCCAGGCAGACACGACTGAGAGGCCGACTCCTCACAATGAACATTGGTACAGGTAACCCACTCAGCTTCAGCTATCCTAATAAGAATGGGTAGCAAATCAACTAATGAAAACAAAACTGAGCAATTAATGATACCATCCTTAAATGACAAATTTACTGGTAGACATGCTTTAAAGTCTATAGATACTCATTTCCTAGCTGCCACCATTTTAAAAAAATCTACAGAACTAAAGGGAATCTATTTCTGTGCAGTGTCCATGGTGATTCAGGAGCTAATGCAGAAATACTAACATTTTCTCCCTTTCCTTTTCCACTCTTGGGTCCTCAGGGATCAGGCGACAACCGGTCCATGTAACAGGGGTTATTTTCTGCATATTTCTTGTGTAATTTGGGACTTGCCCCAAATTGTTAAAAAGACACCTAGACCATCTAAGAGACATCTAAAGATGTATAAAATTGCCTCATTCGGTTTGGCTGTGTGCTCAGCACAATCATTCAAATTATACAGAAAGGTTCAGCGGTGGCATACAGGTCTTAGACACACAATATGACTGGGAAAGTGATCATATCCATTTTAGTGGCCAGATATTAATCAACTGCATGCAGAACATAGAATAATTTATGCTATAGCACAAAACTAGGAAAGCACAAGCTATCACTTTGTTTCCAGTGTCCCCTGCTTGGAAAATATGAAACACAAGGCGAGGTAATTCTATAATCTCAAGCAAAGAACAGTCAAATTATTCATAACAAATGCTAAAATGTTGCTTATTTTTCTGCCCTTTCAGTAAGGTAAGGATGCGAGAAATGAGATGTATAACTCGAAAGTGGGTCAGCACTGTTGTCTTTCCCACACCACCTGCCTATGTACTTCCTTTGGGTGGAATACTGCTGGATCTGACACCACAATATTATCCACGCCTAAAACTCCCACGCTCGGGGTCATTTACATAGCAGAGCTTCGTCATCTCCACATGCAACTTTATGCATACTTCTTCGCCTATTTAATGCAACAAAAATAAAACACTATGAAGCATACAACACCAGGTATCACCAATATTCATTCTGCCGATAGTAAAGGCCATGGTTAATTACTAACTAAACAATATATCGACGCAGAGTTCTGTGAAATTGTGTAACCAAATAAACGATAGTTTTAATAATTTTAATAGTAACAACAGTCATGACTATTGTTTTATATGTGACGGGTTTAACACAACTGGTCACCTCGCTAAGCAATCTTATTTTTGGGCGTCATCGAGTTAATTTAACCAAGAACTGTTAACCTGGCCAGTTGGGCAACATAGCTGCATGTTACCACAACAATAATTCTGCTGCTAAACGGCTAAGAGACTTATTAGTGAATTACTATTATTATTTACTATGTCAACATAATAATTAACTCGCTAAGTTTTTTTCAAGTACAAGTTTATGTAGAAAAGTAGAAAGAAAAAAACGAGCTAATGCCGTTCGCGACAAACTAGAACAGGTAGCATGCTAGCTAACCAGTCTATGTGTCGCATTCAAACCAAGCGCCATACTTATGTGTTCAAAATAACATTTTACCAGATGTAGATGTACGCAAATTCTAACTCCAATTTCACAAAATATAATAAAATACAAACTACATAAAGTTTTTCGTGATGTTTTGGTTTATGGCAAACAGTGTTACTCCAAAATAAAATGTTCGTAACAAAGCTTCCAGGACCTTACCTTCGCAAAAAAAAAAATGGCCGCGATACTTTAACAGTCTCGCGAGATTTCATGGGAAAGAAAAAACGTTAAGACGCCCTACGAAAAGGAATCCTAAAACACGGTATACTTTGTTCATTAAATGATGTTGCTACAAACAAATCTATCTTGCTACTGATCGATTCATATGGGACCTCTATCATAGTATTCATTCATTCATTCATTAACTTATTTGTTCATTTACTTATTCACTCATTCTTCAATTCATTCACTCACTCAGTCATTCAGTATCGGACTATTTATTCCCCAAGTGCAAAAAGTACAAGGAGTTTCTATTGGTGCAGATGGTGGCCTGACGCGTCAATAAAAAATTCAATAAAACATATGGTTTTATATATGGCGTGATGATTAACAAATTGGACGCAAACGTATAAACATATTATCAAGACAAAACTTCAAAAAGCAACAGAATTAAGTAAAATAGCTCTATGTAGTATAATATTAGTTAATATTCAAAAAAGCAAATAACATAAAGATGCAAATAAATAAACACGCAGACAATCAAAGTGGTACAAGTATTCATTCAGTATTCAGTATCGTTCTAATGCTGGGTTTTTGCCAGTGTAAATGGCTGTACATTCAACCTTAAGCGGTTACAAATGTAAATCATTTCCACTCCTCCTACTACATGACTCCCAAATTCACGATTGTTATTAATTTGATGAAGTACTTCGTCCCTTATTAAACCTGAATATGTTTTCATATAATTTCATTTCATATATTTGGAATACCTATAAAAGCCTGTCACGTAGCGTGACACCCAGACAGCACAGGGTTAATCTGGGCACCACGTCCCTTTACGTCACAGAAAAGGTTCGGTGTTTTCTAGGAGTCCGAGAGGTCCGCTCCATTCGAGAGTATTTTGGTGAGGATTTTGTAGTTAATGCTATGGTATGGTGTCCGAGTATTATATGAGATTGCCCAGTGTATTATATGAAGAAAAGAAATGAATGACAATCTAAAAGCATGGTTAAACCGTTATAGTGGTTGCTTATTGTGGAATTATTGAAATAATGCTTCAAAAAATAATAATTTCCCTGGTATTGATTGACTAGCGATAGCATCTTACATGTCATATATGCCTTTTTAAAATATGGATTTTAATGAACGTGCGCATGATTTGGCAAATGTCCTGCTTATTAGAACAAAATACATGCGATAGAGTACGTGTACCATAATGTAAACTAGACAGGCGTCAGAAAATATTTTTACTTCTTTGAGATCGAGTAAAAACAATCAGAATCATTTTTTAAAACTATATTTTAAGTCCATACGATCGTATTCCGATGTTTACAGACCTGTTGTTAACCTTTGGACAGTACATTAGGAGTTGTCAAATTGTCTTTTAAAGTTACGTAAGCGCCAAGGATAACATATATTTTATTTGTTAAATAAATTCAGTTCATAAATATATAGTCAGCTAATTATAGCATAACGTTACATCTAATGCTAGGAATATAGATCAACCTGTCTATCGCATATTCTTTAGTGTATGTCTGTAGGTATTGTTTTTTTCATGTGGCAGACTATAGTTTGGTGAAATCCATAAGAGTTTTAACTTTGAAGGCGATTGGAAGACTGTCAAAAGCTTCTTACTAGGCTAGGAGCACTCAAAAAGAAAAAAAAAAAATATATATAGGCCTAGTAATGATGATACTGACAGCAAATATTACAACCTGAAAAAAAAGGTCCATAGCACTACATGCTTTGGACACTTAATAATGGAACTAAAAATCAAATTTCAAAGGCTAATGTGTGGCCACGACAGCATGACGGGTTCTGGTGTGCGTGTGTTTGTCCCGCAGTACAGTACCACAATGCGGAAAGTGGGAGTGGCTGTGGTGGGTGCCGGTGTTGTCGGCCTGTCCACGGCAGTATGCATCACAGAAGCCATTCCCCACAGCGACGTGACTGTCCTTGCGGACCGTTTCACACCCAACACCACCAGCGACGTAGCTGCCGGTGTCCTTTTTGCCGACGAGTTCCCTGGTGAGTTCCCTGGTCCCATATTTTCATATACGTTCCGCATTTCCTGCTCCGCAAATTTTATCTTGGGCACCCCCCCCCCCACTCTGCAAATTTAATCATAGGTGTAACTGGCGTGCCCTATTTATTAAGAAGGTGAAGCCCCCCAACCCCCAAAGGGTCAAATCCTAGAATTGCCCCTGGAAAATACTCAGGTAAAATGTCCATTCTTCTTCATAATCACTTGTCCAGTACAGAGCTGTGGTGAGGCTGTAGCCAGTCCCAGGGAATGGAGGGGACACCCTGAATGGGATGCAAGTTCAATGCGAGACACACACGCACACGCACACACACACACACACTGAACTTAGTGCAAGAATACAACCCCCAACCTTGGAGGTGTGAGGTCATCCTGCCATTCTCTTGTCAATAACGTCATCTATACAAGAGTTAATTCCAATCAAGAAATCTGATTGGACAAGAGGCATTCTATGAGTGCAGCTATCAGAGTATAACCGAACTTGGACATTTCACATCAGCTGTATCACTCCGCTTTACAGGTGCATCTAAAAACCGATACTTAGTCAAATTTAAATGATGCAAATTAGTTGGGAGCGAGTGAGCTGTGCTGCACTGGAATATTAGTGTGTGGTTAGCTGGTGGGAACTATTTTTTTTTGCAGAGGCCCTTAAATGTTTAAATAAATATTCAATCAAAGTATTATCTGTTGTGGCTAATTACTGTTGACTTATAAATGCTACTCAAACTGTTGTATAAATGCAATAACATACTCAAAGTCGTGCAGTTGTACTCCAATATATCACAGCTGTGATTATCTTGGAGTACAACTGCACTCCATCTCGTATGTTATTGCTTAATTATTATTATTATTATTTTTTACCTTCTTCAGACATTCCTTTAGAGCAGCAGCGACGCTGGTTTAAGAGAACATTTGATCACCTCCTGGCGATTGCTGACTCTCCTGAGGCGTCGCTTGCTGGAGTCTTCCTCTGTTCTGGGTAAGACCCATGGTACCTTCAGCTAGTCGTGATTTTCTCCACTGACTACATGATTGATGATGGTCTAGCATTGGCTCTGCATATTCAGAACAATCTTGTCTCTGTAGAAGTTCTGACAATTCCTGCCCCATTCAGATCTAATAATGAGATTTTGATGAAGTTTCCAGGTATTTCGAGAGGTCCCCGATGATGGGAAGCCATTCTGGTCTGATTATGTGCTGGGGTTTCGCACTATGACTGACGAAGAGCTGAAGAGGTTCCCGCAGTACAAGTTTGGACAGGTGTTCACCACCCTTAAGTGCGAGTGCACAGTTTACCTCCCTTGGCTGCAGAGCAGGTGACCGAAAATGGATGGATGTTTTGTATTACAAAAAGCAATTCTGCTTTCCAGTATCCAGAAACATGCCCTAGAATTTGTGCAGACCCACCGATTCCTATTAGCAAAGATCACAATGAGGTTATAACATGTAGAATGTAAGATACACAGAATTAAATATAACAAGATCGCCACAATCCAGGGAATTGTACCTAGCCTGAGATAAACTGACATTTTCTTCTGAAACAGTCTGGGGACAAATTCATGTAATTCTCTTGGTCAGCCAAATGAAGGAAGAAACAATATTTCAGTGGTCAGACAAAGCCAACGTGAGGAAGACATCAGAAGGTATTTAGGGAAGGTTAACAGCAGATATTGTGTAATTCATTATAAAACACGCTATGTCATTACTTGCAACATGCTATTTAGACAGGCATTGTAGATTAGCCTGAGGAGTAGAATAAGTTAGAGAAAAACACAATGTGAAACATATCCAACTTATTTACTGTTTAATTTACTGCTTTCAGGCTCATAAAGGCTGGTGGTAAGATAAAGAATGAGAAAGTAACTGACCTCCATCAACTGGGCCAGAGGTATGATGTCATCATTAACTGTTCGGGTCTGGGAGCCCGGGACCTGGTTGGGGATGGAGAGTTGTACCCGGTTCGAGGCCAGATCCTGAAGGTCCAGGCTCCCTGGCTGAAGCATTTCGTCCGGGCCAGTGACGGACAGACATACATCTACCCTGGTATGGCTAGTGTTACCCTAGGGGGCACCAGGCAGATTGGCGACTGGCGCCTGGAGACGGACGCTGAAGAGAGCGCGGGCATCATGGAGCGCTGCCGCCTTCTGGAACCTTCTCTAAGGGGTGCTGTGTGCCAAGGGGTTCAGGTTGGTCTGAGACCCGGAAGACGGAACCTGAGGCTAGAGAGGGAACTGCTTCACCTTCAGGGGCGTTGGGTGCCCGTAGTGCACAACTATGGGCATGGAGGGTGGGGCATCACCCTAAGCTGGGGCACCGCCCTTGACGCACTACAGCTGGTGCAACAGTGTCTGACCGAGCATCCTCAGCTAGCCAAGCTGTGACTGGTTAGACAATGGAGTCATTTTGCCTTTCAAAACACTGGGAGCTTTGTTTTATCTCAGACATTCACATAGTGATGTCTTACAGCTCATTCCTTCACTCACTCATATTCATTCACTCATTCGTACATTAATTCAGTGTTTCTTCACCCAAGCTCTCGATGACATTTTTGCTCTCCCCTGGCCCCCAATGCAACCCTACCAGGTATTCAGTGTTCTTCATTTGGCTGAGAGCAGGGAAGGAGCAAAAATGTGGACCGTCTGGGGTCCCCGAGCACCGTGTTGGAAAACACTAGTCTGTACTACTTGTCCTCTGCAGTGTGACAAGGGTTTATAGTAGGGATGAGTCAGTATTGTGGAATATTAAAAAAAAATGGATAAAATATAAAAAAACTCATAAAGTAGAATAATAATACAATGTTAGGAAGGCTAACTTTAATGGTATGAGACGGAAATTAGAAACTGTAAACTGTAAACTGGACAGAGTTAAATAGCAAAACAGTTGAAAACAGTTGAAGAGGCATGGGAATTTTTCAAAAGCACATTGTTGCAAGTGCAAGAGGACTTCATACCTGTTTCCAGCAAAACTAAATCTAGGAAACGGCAACCAAGGTGGTTTACTAAGGAAATTAAGAATAAAGTCAGGAGGAAAAGGGCTCTGTTCCACAATTGGAAAATAACTAATGATTTCAAAATCAAGCAGGAGTATCTAAGACTACAGGCAGAGTTAAGAAATGACATTAGGCTATCAAAGAGGGATGTAGAAAGAAA